CATGCCCCCCTTGCCATCACATGCCAAAAGCGGGGGAAGCATTGGGGGGAGGTCACACGCCCATGCGCGGGGTGTGTGTGCATTGAATTATGGGTGTGGGCACGCACATGCACAACCCCCTACATGCTCCCCCACTTTTGGCATGCAATGGCAAAAAGGTTAGCCATCACCGGTCTAAGGTGTCTTTTTGTTTGCTTCACTCCCTGGAGCTAGACTTGGAAAATGACTTGTTTTAGTAATAGAACTGAATGGTCACTTCTGTTTAACAGTCATTTGTATAGAACTTGTGTAGAATTGCCACATAATCTTTTCCAGCTCCATCAGTGAAGGTTTTTTTTTTTTACTCGCTGAAAACAGTACCCACATCCCCGAACAGAATTTAGTTCTGCGTAATCCTAAGGACATGGCTAGGGCAGCTTTAGAGCCAACTTAAAAGTCATTTTGCTCAAACATTTCATAAGTAAATTACTTTAAGTGATGTTGAGATGGGGGTCACATTTTCCTATCTCCTTCGGACTCTTATTTTCAATATCAACATGCATGTTTCCTGAGGGCATTCTGCTTATTTTCTCTGGTTGAAAGCTTTGAGGGATGATATTTGCAGTAGGAAACTACTGGGTTAGCCGAAAAAGATCTTTGGAGCATTTGTTAATTGATTGCACTTTTGATGGTGGGTGTGCCTGGAGGCATCCAGGAGCTCACAAGCAAAATGATTGTGCATTAAGTAATTTCTTGAGCAATTTTTTTGTCTTCCGGTACCTATTCATGATAAGCAGTGATGTGTCTGGAGGGCATAAATAAGGTTCATTTATTGCTTTTGTTTAAAAAGATTGCTTTTGGTTCCAGTTCACTGCCTCTGTGACTTGCACTGGTCATACTTCTCTCTCTCTATCTCTCTCTTTCTGTGTATGTATGTTCAAATAACTATTCTGGAGTCGGCTCTTTTGTTAGGCAAACCACATCCTGTACTATTTTGTCTCTGAATTAATGCAATGAAGTAGGAAAAACACTGCAGTACATGAAATTGGAATCTGTCAAATGGCCTTTGTACACACCTCTTAAAATCAGAACAATTAACAGAAATAAAGTTTTGGAGTTCCGCCTGTAGCATTTAAGATGTCAGCATCACTTGTTTTCTTTATGTGTCATCTTACAGTTTACTTAACTCATTCATTTTGCTGCTGGGACTCAAACATAGGCATTTAAAACTTTTTAATATAATAAAAATAGCAACAAAAGAAGGAAGATAACATGTCAAAACAATAGTATATGAAATTTGCTATAAAAACCAGCTGAAGCATTAGAAGAAACATGACTGGAAATAATGGTCTTAAACAGCTGCCTGAATAAAGCTCATATTAATAGTTTTCTCACCTATGCCTACCATCAGTGATGATGCCCCATTAATAGAAGAGTTTTTCTTGACCTGTGGAAGTCTTCCAATTTCTCTTCAGTGTTTTTTTCCCTTTGTTTTTTTTTTCCTTCCACAGATTTCCCCCCCACCCCAATCCAAAAAGCTTCATTTTGACAGTTAATCTCCATTCTTAAGAAGAATTTCCTTCTTTCTGGGTTCAATGAGTAGTTGTCTGCTGCGAACTCCTCATAGGCGTACGGAAGGGAATCCTGCCAGTAAACTCAATTCCAATCAGTTACCCCAACATCACCCTGAAGCAAGGGGTTGCAGAGTCATTAAAAAAACCCTGATAAAGCCAGATTTTGAAATAGTTCTCCAAACGACACTTAAGTTTGTTCACATATGCAGAGAATCCTTCACACTGTTGTACAACTGCTTCTCCAGTGTTGAACTATTTGGTTTTTAGAACATAAGATCCTAGTTTTAATGTCTTCTATTGTTGTCAGGGCTGCCTCCAATCAATTCCTAGGAAAGAAAACCCTTGACTCCATAGATTCAGAGAAAATGTACTTTTCCTAAGAATGAACTGAAAGCAGCAAAAGTCAGGCAAGGTCTGAAGCAAATGCACATGGAAAAGACAAATTGAAAATTATCCCAGAGCCCACTCCCTAGTACTCGGGCAGACAGAGTCCAATCATTAGCCAGGATGATGTTTTGAGAATGTCTCTGGTCCAGGTGCTCCACGCCTCCTTGTGCATGCCATTCCCAGGACGGTTGGCCTTGAAGATGTTAAACAACCCAAGCTGGCCTCTCGTGAGTCCAAACCTCCCCATCAGTTCCCAACAATTCAGCTCTCACACCATCTGCACGTTTCCCCTCCCAAATGCCCATTGCTCCCTCGCTTCCCTTTTCCATGGCAGCTGGCAGCAAGCTTGAAGGAGAGTGATGATGGCAAGACTGACAATTGTTTTCCTGTTCATTTCAGAAGAGCATAAGTACCAAAAGGAAGAGTCTCTTATAGTGCCTGGCAGTATCATAGGAACCCAATATTTTGTTGCAAAATTCAGCAGGGTAGTGAAATAATAAAGGAGTCTGGGCACAGGTGGAGTACATCTAAAACTAAAACACTTATTTGGGTCTTTGGCCCTGCCTTGAAAGGTCACAGCACTAAGAGGAATCATAGCACCTCAGATGTGGTCTGCCAGAATTGGCCAAATAAAATTAACAGACTACTCAACCTTTGGTCAGGGTTGATATGGGCTGGTTTTGAACCGATGACCTTGAGGTGAAAGGCCTTTATCAATTGGACTACAAATATTGATTTCTAGCCATCTTGAGGTCTCAGCCATATGACAGAGATAAATTGGAGCACCTTCTGGTTGGTTTGGCTTCAGTGACCTCTGATTTAACTACAATGCACATGGAAAATCTTTTTATTTAATTTGTTTACAAGATGAGGCTATTTGCCCTGCCCTGTGCTAGGTCCAGTTGCTTGTATAACTGGGCGTGACTTGCGATTCACATTCACTTACTGAATTGCTTGAAAATGTCATGCCAGAACAATTTGACCGTATGATCATTTTAGAAAGCCTCTCCTAAATATGGAAAATTCAGAAGTATTTTTATTCTGCATGCAAGTTTGCAAAATAACAATCCAACTGTGGGGAAAAAATATTGTCCCCTTATAGGAATTTTGGAAATGTACAGCATAATTCCACTTAGTTCTGCCTTTTAAGGGTTCTTTTAGGTCAGTGATGGCTAACCTTTTTTCCTTCGGGTGCCAAAAGTATGCGTGTGCATGCTATCGTGCACACACGTGCCCACACCCATAATGCAATGCTCCCCCGCATGCCCCCACCCCTCTGCACATGCACACGACCCCCAGCATGCGCACACAATCCCTACATGAGCGTACACACATCCCCTTTTGGCCTCACATCCTAAAACAGTACTGGGGAGGGGGGAAAGCCTTTGCCTCCCAAAACGGATGGGGGGGAGGGAAAAAAAGCCTTTGCCTCCCAAAACAGCTGGGGGGGAAGCTTCTAAAACGGCTGGGAGGTGTGTGTGGGGGGAAGCCTTTGCATCCCAAAACGGATGGGCGGAGGAGAAAGCTTCTTAAAAGGCTGGGAGTGGGGGGGGGGGGAAGGTTCCAAAACGGGGGGGGGGGGGGGGGGGGAGCTTCCAAAATGGCTGGGGGGGGGAGGGAAAAAAAGCCTTTGCCTCCCAAAACAGCTGGGGGGAGAATCTCCGGAGATCTGGGAAGGTGCAGGCAGCAGAAAGTGAGCTGAAAGGTAGGACTCCCCAAGCATGCCTCTTTCAAGGCAGCCCCGAAAATCAGCTGGCCGGCGGGATGCGCATGCGCAGTGGACCTGAGCTAGGCAACGGCTTGCATGCCTGCAGGTGGCACGGGTGCCATAGGTTAGCCATCCCTGTTTTAGGTGAACATTTTATAGGCTTTTACATTTGTTCTCATTAATTAAAAAAGCAAACAAACTAGATTCTTTGTGACATTTCCTGACCGCCAGCCAGTCAGCTTTATTCATAATCTGTCCTCTTGTACAAACTTGCTTTCAAAATCTCTGAGCTTGTACTGTAGGTGGTAAACAGATAAAATACCTGTAGTTAAGCATAGAATCTATTTATCATGGAAATTATTTTAAATTGCTCCTGAACTCTGTTTAGTAGATGCATATAGAGTATAGCAGGCAAGAAAATTATTTTTAGTTTTTGGCTGCAATTGGATGTCTTAGAGTGTAAAAAAATTTCAAATAAATTAATTTCAAATCCAAGTATTAAAAGACTCCTTCAGTTGTTTTATTTAGTAGTTTGTCTAATGCTCAACGCACGTTATTTTTTATTTTTTGTAAACTGGTGGCATTAGAGTCTGTTCTTAGTATGGAAGAAGATACATTGCTATTTTTCTGCGTTGTGGAGCAGCTGTATTTAGAGGTGGGTTTCAGCAGATTCTGACCAGTTCTGGAGAACCGGTAGTAGAAATTTTGAGTAGTTCGGAGAACCAGTAGTAAAAATTCTGACTGCCCCCACCCCATCTATTCTCTGCCTTCCAAGTCCCAGCTGATAGGGAGGAAATGGGATTTTGCAGTAACCTTCCCCTGGATTGGAGTGGGAATGGAGATTTTACATTATCCTTCCCCTAGAGTGGGGTGGGAATGGAGATTTTACAGTATCCTTCCCCTGCCATGCCCACCAAGCCATGCCACACCCACCAAGCCATACCCACAGAACCGGTAGTAAAAAATTTTGAAACCCACCACTGGCTATATTGCTGTGGCTGTGTGCCAAAGTCTTATAAAAGATAATTCTCAAATTATCTAGGTCATAAACATCTAAAAAGTGTAATCAAACTTGTAGCTTTTCTGTGATACTAATTTCTTTCCTTTTTCCCTTATTCTAATCATCTGAGAGAAACACCTGAGTTTTCATTAAACTCTAAATGAAAGAAATAAGATAGGTATTAAAGAGAGGTTTTTAAATTTTTTTTTGAAAAATCTGGTGTCTGTGTATGTCTCTTCATGTGTTCAGAGCTAGCGTTCCTTTTGTTAAAGCCACACCAAGCCGACTGAAGCACATTGTATGGATGATTTGATTTATTTTACTACATCTTTGTTACTGTTTATTTCATCAGGTTTCTCTGGAAACTGCGTTGGCTGTGGCAAGAAAGGATTCTGCTACTTTACTGAGTTTTCTAATCATATCAATCTAAAGCTGACCTCTCAGCCCAAGAAACAGAAACACTTAAAGTATTATCTGGTCCGGAATGCACAAGGCACACTTACCAAAGGCTCTGCAATCTGCTGGAAGGGGGCAGGTGAGCTAATGTAGCAGTCCTTTTAAAAGGTCTGGAATATCTCTGGAAAGTTTAGAAGTTACTGACACAGAACTCCTTAGAAATAAATCTAAGATGCCAAAGTTCATTGGCATTTTGTTAAAAGCCCAATAAAACACTTCTAAAAAGTATAAGTTACCTACTATAAAGTCTCCTTTTTAAAAGGGTCTTAATAGATAGTTGGGAAGTCATAAACACCTATAGACTCCCAGTATGCCTTCAATATAAGATTGAACCACAATGTATGAGAAGATGGTCTTCTCCCATTCAGTCTTCTCCCATTCCTAGAGGAGACAAGATTGGGCAAAATATTTTATTGATATGAAGACAAATTATATGAAATAAATGATTCAAATGACATTTTTCAGAAATGAATAATAATTTATGAGTTTCTTCTTTGAAGCAATAATGTAGGCATGTCTGCTTGTGTTGACATGTAAAATTCAATTTTTGTAGAAAAGGTTTGCAAAAACAACGTGAGCTGTTCTCATTGGATAACAAACATCTTGGATTTTTTTAGAATTCAGAAACCGGCAATCCTCCTCCAACTCTTCTTCCCATACGTTGTTTCAGCCTCCAGAGAATACAGTTTCTTCAGCAACTGTTATGAACGAACCATTTCTACCAGCACATCCAGTAGGTCAAGCTGTAATTCATCAAACAAGTAAGTATTAAGTTTTTTCTCAAATGTTCCAATCTGGATTTTCCATTTGCTTGGTATGTCAAATCAACTTGGATGGATTGAAAGAATAGCACGGCTTTAGCATTTCGTAGGAACTAAATCACTTGGGGTAATACATGCACCTTGCCTATTATTTATCACTGCTGATTGAATAAATCTGACACCGAGTTACCGGTAATCCATTTTGGCAGCTTTGCAAAACATATTAAATCGTAAAATAATCAAACTGGCTAGATTTGCACTTTAGGCAAGGGCAGAAATGAATAAATAAAACTAATCAAGATTAACTGAGGCTAGTGTGCTATGCCATATGCAGCTGTTGGTTCTTTAACTTAACCTAATTTAGCATGTTATCTGAACACAAACTAGAAGTGTTAAGAGGGTCAAACACCTGTGATGCAGCATGGATGCATAATTCAGATTTCTGCTTCAGATGGCACTTACTGCCAAGAATAGCCTGATATGCAATGATTTCTTTGAAATGTGAAATATAGTTCCACATATTCTTTGACAGTTGGAAAGCAGTTGTTGATCTCTTTGGTCTTACAATATGAACAAAGTTAGAGAGTTGAGTTAACTTATTTCTAGGTCAAGCGTGCTATATTTGAAACTGCTATAAAGCCAGGGCTTTTAACATGCGTATAAGTAAGGAAATGCTGTGACTTAGACTTTAAATCACCTCACAGCTTCATCTGACAGGAAGAAAAAGCCAAGCTAAGCTAAGGCGTTGTAGGGCTGGTCCTATATTGAAGAGATGGGGATTAATTATATCTAAATGGAAAAGAATTTTGTTCATTTTTTAAAATCCGGATCACCTTGACAAAATCTTGGCTAGTGGATTCTTTGATTTGAAGAATGATAATGGTGGTTGAGTATCAGCTCTATAATTTCATAGCCATAAAAGCCGGTTGGGTGATTTTGAGCCAGTCGTTCTCTCTCAGCCCAACCCACTTCACAGGGTAGTTGTTGTGGGGTGGGGGGAAATAGGAGGGGGAAGGAGTTTTGGGTGTTTTGCCACCTTGAATTATTTGTAAGAATAATAAAGGTGAGAAATAAAGAAATCAATTTTAAAATTTTATTAAAATAAAAAAGCTTCCACCAATGCTACAGTAAGTCTCTCTGTATCTGCATGGTGAATTGCCAATCGCAGGACCGCCAGCTAAGAATTCTGGAAACGACAATTCCAGGTTGCCAGGTTAGAAAAGGTGTTATCAAATTTATATGGCACTGGTTGATAAAGGCCACTTGGTTACTGCCTAACAATGGGAATAATTATGGTGCAAACACTATAAGACTTTCCACTGCATTCATTTTGGTTGATGGGGCCTTTTCTAGATAGCTACTTCAATTCTTAAAATAACATTTTAAGTCTTCATTCAGTTCTCAGAAAAGTCTCCTGCCCTAGTAGGAGGTGCTTTCTTAGGGAACTAAAATAATCCTTGTTCATTCAGAAGTAAGCCTCATAAAATTCAATGAGACCCTCTCACAAAATTATTGAATAGAAGTGCAAGCCAAAACTTGATTGTGCTTTTACTTAATTCATTCACTAAAATATGATATTTAGACTTCATTATACCAATTGTGTTAAAGTTTAGAGAGTGGATTAAATAAAATAACACTTTTCCTATTTAGTAGTTTAGTAGTATTCAGGAGCTCATGACTCAAGGGAGTCAGGAGGATACCTGACTCCCTTGTCCACAGTCCGGCTGAGTCCCTGGTGGCTGCCTGGAATAGGGCGGCATCTGGGGCACTGGACCAGATTGCGCCTTTGCGACCTCTCCATGGCGGTGGATCCAGGAAAGCTCCCTGGTTTACTGAGGAGCTCTGGGAGATGAAGCGCCAGAAGAGACATCTAGAGCGACGCTGGAGGACCAGTAACTCCGAATCTGACCGAACACTCTTAAGAGCCTTTATTAGGACTTATTTAGTGGCGATATGGGTGGCAAAATGCTCGCATTTTTCCGCACTTATTGCATCCATTGATTCGCGCCCAGCCACCCTATTTAGGGTGACTCGCTCCCTCCTTAATGTAGGGGAAGTGGAGGAGCCCTTGCAGGGTAGAACTGAGGAGTTTGTGCAGTTTCTGTCAGATAAAGTCGCTGAGATTCGGATGGACCTGGACTCTGATTGGGCAATTCCGACCGAGATGATGGGGGCAGGTCTTAGTCCCATTGTGTGGGATGAGTTTGAGCCTGTGACTCCTGAGGAAGTGGACAAGGCTGTAGGAGCGATGAGTTCCTCCACTTTTTTGTTGGACCCGTGCCCCTCCTGGCTGGTTTTGGCCAGCAGGGAGGTGACACGAGGCTGGCTCCAGGCTTTAGTTAACATGTCCTTGAGGGAAGGGGCCTTCCCGCAATCATTAAAGGAAGTGGTTGTAAGGCCCCTCCTCAAGAAGCCTTCCCTGGATCCAGCAGAATTGAAGAACTTTTGTCCAGTACCCAACCTACCCTTTGTGGGAAAGGTTGTAGAGAAAGTGGTGGCATTTCAGCTCCTGCGGTCATTGGAGGAAACGGATTATCTAGACCCTTTTCAGTCTGGCTTCAGGCCTGGCTACAGCATGGAAACTGCTTTGGTCACGCTGATGGATGATCTCTGGCGAGTCCAAAATGGGGGTCATTCCTCCATCTTGGTGCTACTTGACCTCTCAGCAGCTTTCGATACCATTGGCCATGGTATCCTTCTGGGACGACTAAGGGAGCTGGGAGTGGGAGGCACCGTGTTACGGTGGTTCTCCTCCTATCTCTCTGGTCGGTCACAGTTGGTGTTGGTAGGAGGACAGAGGTCGACCCCCAGGCCCCTCGTTTGTGGGGTGCCTCAGGGCTCGGTCCTCTCTCCCCTCCTATTTAACATCTACATGAAGCCACTGGGTGAGATCATCCGACGACACAGGGTGAGATATCAGCAATACGCAGATGATACCCAGCTGTATATCTCTACCCCGCGTCAATTCAGTGATGCGGTGGATGTGATATGTTGGTGTCTGGAGGCTGTGAGGGTCTGGATGGGAATCAACAGGCTCAGACTTAACCTAGACAAGACCGAGTGGCTATGGGTATTGCCTCCTAAAGACTATGTCGATTGTCCATCCTTGGTTCTGGGGGGGGGGAGAGAAATTGTCCCCCTCAGTACGGGCTCGCAATTTGGGTGTCCTCCTAGATTCACAGCTAAGATTAGAGCAACATTTGACTGCTGTGGCTAGGGGGACCTTTGCACAGGTTCGCCTGGTGCACCAATTGCGACCCTACTTGGATCGGGAGGCTCTCCTCACAGTCACTCATGCCCTTGTCACCTCACAGTTAGATTATTGCAATGTGCTCTACATGGGGCTACCCTTGAAAAGTGTTTGGAGACTACAATTGATCCAGAACGCAGCCGCGCGAGCTGTCATGGGTGCACCTAGGTACACCCACATTACACCAATTCTCCGCGAGCTGCACTGGCTCCCTATCGGTCTCCGGTCACAATTCAAGGTGTTGGTTATTACCTTTAAAGCCCTACATGGCTCAGGGCCAGGTTATCTTTGAGACCACCTTCTGCCGCATAGCTCCCAGCGACCAGTAAGATCCCACAGAGTTGGTCTCCTCCAGGTCCCGTCAGCTAAACAATGTTGGCTGGCGGGCCTGCGGGGGAGGGCCTTCTCTGTGGCTGCCCCAGATCTCTGGAACCAGTTACCTCCTGAGGTCCGGACCATCCCCACCCTATTGGCCTTCCGAAACGCAGTGAAGACCTGGCTTTTCTGGCAGGCCTGGGGCCGTTGATCTCGCTGTTGTGATCTGGCGAGATCTGGCCATGAATGGTGTGAATGAGTTTTTAATGTTTTTAATGTTTTTTAATTTTTCAACGTCTTTTTATAATGATTTTTTAATTGTATTGTGAGCCGCCCTGAGTCTTCGGAGAGGGGCGGCATATAAATTTAATTAATTAAATTAAATTAAATTTTTTTGAGAAATTTGCAAATGTGAGAAAGTGCATGGTACACTTGTTTATTTATAAAAAGTGTATGATATTAAAATACAAAATAGTCTGCAGCACTGTGGAATTAATGTTCTGTACTAAATGCAATAAAAACAGCATATAACAGAAGTGGAAACATCTGTGAGAATAAATTGGTTGCTTAGTGAATGATTAACATTGGACAGAGAATGAACAAGAATGTAGGATGTGCTCTTGGTTTTTTAATGGATTTACTAATAAAAAGTGGCATTGTTAAAAATTTACTGACTGGGTACATGAATGTTTATGTACCTTTGCAGGCAAATGCTGCATACGTGGTCTGAGAAACCTAATGATTTTCAGTGAAATAAAATTGTGTAATGCTGGAAGGAGTATGAATCTGAGTAAACATAAAAAATAAGTTAAATGCAGCATGAATGGATTATTAAGATGCGTTTTAAAACAAAAATGAGGGCTAAGGAGTGAACCTTGGATTGAATTCAAAAGTGAATCATTAACATGGAAGAAATACATTAGTGATAGAATGGAAAAAGAAAATAAATATGGAGGAAGAATGAAAGGGCTGGGAAGAAAAGAAAATCTGGAAAAAATAACTGAATCATCCCTCATAAAAGAGAGATATGAGAAAATTAAAGAACAAGAGACAATATTTGAATCATGTACCAAACTGATGTAAACTAGAATACTTTTTGAAGCTAGGGAAATATAGAAATATAGTCAGGTACGGTGAATGGTGCAGTATAGATTTAGCTACATTTCTCTTCCCTTTCTCTTATTTCACATTTTTAATTCTGTGGCTTACTGTTTATCACATCTGTGATTTGTATAATATTTTTACCCTAACAGGGAATGTGGCAAGTAATTATAATGAAAAAAAACCCTGAAGTTAGATATTAAAGATGGCTAAAATTAACCAAACTAACTAACGCTTACTCTTACAAAATAAAATAACTCCCCATCTGTGGTTGTGGCCATTTAAAAAAATTTTTTTTATCAGTTTTATTGTAGTTTCTTTGATTGTTGTGAGCCTCCTAGAGTTGTTGGGAGTCAGTTGGCATATAGGTTTAATAAAATATTATTATTAACTAGCAGATTGTTATTGCTAATAAGGAAGATCTTATCTTCTGCTACTTTTCTGAGTTCGCAGGAGCAATGAACATTTCTAAAAGCTCTAAAACGTGAAGGTGAAAGTGCCATACATTATGTTGAAGTCTTAGTTATGTACTCATGTTCATTAGCTATATGGGCATATAATAGTGGTTCCCTCAGCCAACTCAGACACCCCTATTTTATCATCTGAAATTCTGAATATCTGTTTAACATATACAACTTTAGTGAATTTAGTACAAATGCACCTTTGCATATTATTATTCATGAAAGCATTACAAAAGCTGGTAGTTATAGGAAGGATTTCCTTTGATACAAGAGATAAAATAATTTTGATGAAAATGTGGTCAACAAAAATAAAAGGAGCTAAGTGAATCTTGTGGTGAGTTGACCACAGCAAATTGGCCACGGCGAGTTGGCCATGTGAGTTCTCCAATTCTGACTTGATATAGGAAAAAGCACCACCCTGCTGACTGTTTTCTTTCCTTCACATTGACCCAGCTCCTGACCACCTCCCATCAGCTGCTTGCCATCCAGCCTACAATGGGAAAGACGCTTCCTATCAACACTCACTTAAAAGCAATTTACCTTCCGTGACAAAACCATCAGCATTAGGTATGTTATTTTGTTTGTGCAATAACATGCTTGTGTATTCCAGTCCAAGTGTGGACGCTGTGCATTCACACAGTGGAATTTAGCCTTGCTGTTGGAAGAAGAGGAAAAGCTATTTCTTCACCAGGTTTTTTTTTTTTTCACCAGGAGACAAATATCATTGGACTTAGTATATAAGTACTGTATATAAAAATGATTCTGCTAGCCATCTGTTTTCAAGCACAGTTCAACGGGAGCTTGCTTTTAAGGCCCTATGTAAATTGAGGCCATGGGACTTGAAGTATTTGCAGTATAAACCTGCCAGTGTATGGAAAACTTCTCCTCTGGGTCTGCCTGAAGAGAGGCAAGTATTGATGTGAGTTAGGAGCTTCCTGGTAAAAATAGCTCATCTATTGGATACTATGGCTTTCAAAAAGTTTATTTCGCACTTGCTTTCATGACCTTTGGCATCAAAGCAAAAGCTTTTTCTTACTGTACTTTGTCTCTCCCTCCACATATGCATAGGTCTATTTACATGAGTATTTGTAGGACTGCCTCTCCTTGAAGATGTCTGCCCTTCCTGCTAGTTTAGATAGGGTAGGTGTGTTTCACGTCCCCTCCCTTAAATGTTGCCACCTGATGAGACTTTGGAGGCGCACCTTCTAGGTGGCTGCCCTAGGCCTTTGAAATAGTCTTCCCACTGAGGAATTCTTACCTTTTAGCTTTTTTTATGGCTGTGAAGATGTGGCTCTTTTCCCAAGCATTGGGCTAGGCCGGAGAATTGAGCTGCAAGAAAGTTTGGTCCAATGCTGAAGAGAATTGATGAATTCCAATGCTTTAACTACCTAGTTTTCCCGAAAATAAGACCTCCTCAGATAATAAGCCCAGTCGGGCTTTTGAGCGCATGAGCTAAAATAAGCCCCCCCTGAAAATAAACCCTCCCTGAAAATAAGCCCTCCCCGAACATATTTAACTGCATGCGCAGCCACTCCCCACCATTTCTTCTGGTTAGCGTTAGGAAGACAGAGCTGGAAATCAGGTAAGATGGCAAGAGGAGCCCCATCTTGCTCCACGTGCCCCAAAATAATAAGACCTTCCCGAAAATAAGGCCAAGCACTTACTTTGGGGTTCAAAATAATATAAGAAAGGGTCTTATTTTCAGGGAAACATGGTATGTTTTAAGTATTATTGTGAGCTGCCTAGAGTCATTGTATGAGATAGGCAACCATATAGCTCCTGCAAATAAATGAATGAATTAATGAAAAAAACGATGTACACTGTAAAAAAAAAGAAACAATAGACAGTGTAAGGTCCGTATATTCAAATGTTAAACGCAAATATCAAAACTGCTCATCTTATATTCATGTTGGCAGTTAATCTCATGTAACTAACTCAGAAGTTTCTAAAAACTTGCTACTCAACATTAAAACAGTTCTCGCTGCCTTTGATTTTGTTTTCTTTTTGGAGGTGGGAGGGAGGGACGCTGTTCACTTCTAATTCTAGCCTACTCTCCTGGGATTTCCTGTCTTCCAAATCCAACAGATCCAACTAAAAAAAAAAGTTCTAGGCAGATTAGGGCAATACACTGCAGGGCCATTTTTTTACCAGAAAGCTCTATTTCATTTCCTTGCCTGCTCAGCCGTAGATGCAAACAAAACTTTGGTTTACTTGAAAACTCTTCTCGGAGCATTTACTCTTGAGCAAAAGGTTTTATGGAAACTTGTTGCTTCTAAAATATGTGAACTTTTTCTGGCTTTTCTCTGTGAGTTTGCCAGAGAAAGGCAAATGACCAGATGAATTACAATATAAATAGTGTATGCTGCCCTCCTGAGGAACAGTTGTGAAATGCAGGGAGCAAAACAACAGGGAAAAACCTATGCTTGTGATGGAAGGTGTAATCTCATGCTTTCTTCCCATTTAAATCAGAGACTGGCAAATTAAATGATCCACCCAGCAGCCTATTTGTGGCCTGAAAGTTCCTTGAATGGATGTGGTCAAAAGTTTTGGAAACCTGCTGCCACTGCAAACTTTGGGCTGAAAGTTTCAGCCTCATGATGCCATGACCTGACTGGCTGTGTCCCTTGTGGGTTCCAGGCAGGAGACAACCCAAAATGATACTTCCATATCAAAAAGTGATTGCTTCAGAAGTTCCAGGTTGAACAGGATGTGCTTGAGCATTTTACAAAATAGTTCTGGAAAGGCTGTAAATTTAAACGGCAAGTAGCCAAGGTGAAATTATTTGCAATATTTAGAAGCATGGTTACACAAAATCTTCTCAACTCTCTTTCCTTGAGATTTGTGCTTGCAAAGCAGACATCAAAAGAGAAAAAGCTAGACTGCCCACCTGATGCTCAATAAGGCATTGTCACTGTTGTAACATAGTTCTGAAACAATATTGCCCCTATTATCAGTCCAAAGGCATTGTTTTTCTATTGAGAAAAGATAGAAGAAACAGTGAAAAATAAAGGATGATTAGAGATTGAAAGTGATGTTTTTTGGACTCCAATTAACATTACAGGAATACATTTGGACAATTAAATCTCACTGGAAGTAACCTTATACTCAGAATGAGGTAAAAATGGACTCCTATATATGAAGCATGATATATTTAAGAAGTATTACAGCCTCTGTTATTCAGTTATTTATTATGGCTCTTCTTTACTGCTGAACCGACATAAACTCCATACCATTTTGATAACAAAAAACCTTCTATTAAAAATAGTACGATACAATCACCACGCAGAATTTTTACATCTAGTTCTAATATATGTTTGTAAATGATCTTTTCTTTCTAGTATTTAAACTGTTTAAAATTGCTTAGTAGTCTGTTGAATTGATATTGATTTTGTCTTTAATGTACGATTGTTTTTTTTTAATACTCTCTCTTGTGCTTGTTGCAAAAGAGCCAAGTGCAAGTATGACATGCAAATTTTCAGGTATGTGCTTTCACCAAGGAAACAAAGAAGTAGTTTTGGTATTCTTATTGTTATCTAGGCACTTTAACAAACCCAGGACCTCCCAAAAAACGCCACAAAGGATGGTCACCAGAGTCTCCCTCCTCCAATGAAGCCTGGAATATGCAGTCCAGCTCACAAATCCCAACTAGAAATAAAAATGGTAATCAAAGATATATTTTAGGGTTAAGATTCTACCACATAGATTTTTATTGGATGCCTGTTTGAAAGTTAGCAAATTGTTCTGTATAGCTTCTTTACAAACCCTTTCTAATATAATAGGCTGTTTATACTATATAGTCTCTGAATGTGGATGAATAAAGAAATGCGTACCCATACTGTTGAGTTGAAGTTCACTGAATTCACTCTGCAGTCCTTAGCAGAAAAATTCATTATGTATCCGTGTCTTCTTAAAACTGAGCAAATGTCAGATTTCATTACAGGTAGTCCTTTACTTACAACCATTCATTTAGTGACCATTCAAAGTTAACAAAAGTAGTAAAAAAAAGGTGACTTTTGACCGTTGCAGTGTCCACGTAGTCATGTGATCATGATCTGGGCACTTGACAACCAACGGTCACATGGTCACCAATTCCACCCTTTCCAGCCAGCTTCCAACATGCAGTGCCAATAAGGAAGTCAGCAGAAAAAGTCACCCATCACAGTCACATGACCACACCACTTAACAATGAATTTTCCTATCCCAGTGGTGGTTGTAAGTCGAGGACCACCTGTAAATGATACCTCAGGTAATTATCAAACTGTCCTAGGTATTATCATATGTGATTTTTAAAAAAACAAGTTATTATTAGTAAACTAATGTAATCATAATTAAAATACATCAACTTTGTCTGCTCCTTGTGGTTGTTTCTCATCTTTTATTGGGATAGAGGCTGAAGATGAATGAATGCTATGTTAGGAGATCAGAGTTGGGACTGAAGGCTGGACAGCAATAGCAATAGCACTTAGACATATATTCCGCTTCATAGTGCTTTTACAGCCCTCTCTAAGCAGTTTGCAAAGTCAGCCTATTGCCCCCAACAATCTGGCTCCTCGTTTTACCAACCTTGGGAGGATGGAAGGCTTAGTCAACCTTGAGCCTGGTGAGATTTGAACTGCCAAATTGCAGGCAGCTGGCAGTCAGCAGAAGTAGCCTGCAGTACTGCACTCTAACTACTGCGCCAGCGTGGCTTAATAGAAGCAATATGGAATTGCTTGACTGATATTTAAGAACAGGAGGAATGTAGTAGAGACAGGAGGGAAGGAGGAAGAAAATAGATCACTGGGATCAAAGCTAGTGACAAAGGCCTTAATATGTGTGGGAACTGCATCTTCCCAAGCGATTCTAGTGCATGAATTCTAGAAAAGTTAAAATACTTTATCTTTCCTCTCTTTGCTGGTTTATTATTATTATTATTATTATTTTTGCTTATTTTTTTAAAATCAAAATTTAAACTGATTTTCAGATGGCGGAGGAGGGCTCTCCAGTTTACCTCATGCTACTTTGGTAGGACCAGCATCTTCTCCAATAGTGGCTTCTGGGGAGCCAGTTTCGGTTCCTGAAAATTTGCTTAAAATATATAAAGCAAAACCAGTCATATTTAAAGGTAAAACAATTATATGAAAAGACCAACATCTTTAATGCAAGTATATCTGGTTATTTAAAAAAAACAACAACCTTGTAATACATTTATGCCTCTTTATATTGTGCACTTGGGATCCACTTTGTTATGTTTTGCTTCAACAGGGCATGGGAACTTCCCTTACCTTTGTGGGAACCTTAATGATGTCATAGTGAGCCCTCTTTTGTATACATGTTATAAGAATGCACAGTCTCTGTCTAGGTCTTATGAACAATATGGAGCCTCCACTGTACAGCCAATTTCAGAGGAAATGCAGCTCTTGTTAACAGTGTACTACCTTGTTCAGCTTGGTGAGTTTATTCAATCAACATCCTATTTCAGATGTTATTAGAATTGTCAGTTCAAATTGTTATTGAAAAGGTGATTTCATAAACTGGAATAGAAACTTTTTTAAAAAATTATTTGAGTTGGGTGCACATATAATGAGCAGCCTCCCTGTGCATGTACACTGATTGAATCCCTTTGTCACATTCCGGTGTCCCGTGTATGAAAAGCCAGCAACACAAGTTGATATTGGATTTTTTATCTGGAAACGCGGACCCAGCACGAAGCGACCATCCAAAAGGAATCAAAGTTTGTGCTACCGTGGTTAGTTCACCCACCCCTTATATGTGCTCCACCTCCCTTGTGTGTCCACCCCACCTCTCCCACCAACTGCTTGCTGCTAATACAGCCACCACAGTCCGGCCACGCCCCTAGCCGCCCATCCCGCTTGGTTTCCTGCTTCCTCCCACGCTCTGACGATCAGCTGTTTCCACGAGCTGAAAATCAGCTGTTTTGCAAGTAGCTAGTTACAGTCAAGGCCCTGCTGGGCAGGCAGCAGCCCTGTGGATGCCGGAGCGATCAGCCAGGTAAGTCCGGGCCCCTCTAGCCATGTGGCAGCCCCGTGGACGTAGGAGTGAGATGATGCAGGCCGTAGGCATGTGTCTCGGGCGGTGGCTCCTCCCTGCCAAGACGCCATGGCGGCATGGCCGTTGATGCCCATGTTCGTGCGTCCACTCCTCCCTCGCCCAAATGGTGGCCCTGGGCCATCTGGTGGTCCGGGGCTGACACCCTTATCATTTCCTTTGATTTCCTGTCTTCTGCATGCATAATATTTTGCTTTAAAGTGTTGTGAAAAGATGTAATTTATGGACTGTAATCTCATATTTTAAAAATTTAGTGGGGTTTCCTTACTTAAGGAAAAAAACATTCTGGGAAAATGTGACCATGGAGATTCTCAATCATCCAGGTCATTGTTGTCCCATAGGTGTTTTTTTTCCAAAAGGCAACTGGACTTTCTTGGTTTTTTTCCCTTTGAAAACATTTAACTTCTCGTCCAATATGTTTCTTCAGTCTGGGAAAATATAGGAAAAAGTTATTTAATCAGTTTGAAGGACCATTTACACAGTTCAAATGTCAGTGGAGAACAAATTTGCACACAAATGTGCTTCATTTATTGTGTATTATATAATAAATATCATTTCATGGTAAGACTAAAATAATCTTTTTATAACAATAGTGTCTAATGTGAGACTTGAAATACCTGCTGCTATAACTTCTGGAGATAAATAAGAAGTGTTTTCTCCAATGGTAAATGTTCAAATTAAAAATGCAGTAATGCATTTATATTGAACACAAATTTATTTTTTATGACACTAGCCTTTTGCATGAGCAGTTTCTCCTTTTTTATTTTGCAATATTTGTGTGTGTCTTTAATTCGTCTTTCTTGGATGTAATTTTAAGACTGTCAGTGTTTTGACCATATATAAAAACTACAACAATCTGCTGTTTGGAATGAGTTTAATGTAACCGGAGGAGAAGTGAGTATCATAGCTTGGATAGCAGATGAATCTCTCCTATTCATCATCATTTTTTGCTTTTCTGATTTTTCCCTAGCTTCAGACCAGGTACCTTTGATTGAGGATTTGGAACAGATCTTCATGCGTTCATGGCGGGAGATGTACCTCTCTGAAATCCGTCAGTATCAGCAGGCCATTCCCCAAGCTTTTCCTCACATTCCTGGCCCCATTGCCCCAGTCACATCAGCTCAGCTCCCCTGGCTAGCAGGCTTGGCAGCCAGCTCGTGCAACGACAGCGTCCACATCATTGAGTGCAGCTATTCGTTGGCTGAAGGGCTTTCAGAAATGTTCAAGATGCTCCTTGAAGGAAAGCTGGCAAAGACCAATTATGTGGTGATCATCTGTGCTTGTAGAAACAGAACCATAGACTCTTGCATTGTGGTTACAGGTGAGCAAGTATGAAACATGCAAGCGTTGTTGTTTTTTTCTCCCTTCTGAGACCAGTGAAATGCTTACTTTGTCCTATTTCCTACTTGGCAATGAATAAGGCACACACGCTGAGTTTGTCGATTGAAAGGTCAGCAGTTCAGCAGCCCTAGTGCCACATAACGGGGTGAGCTCTCGTTACGTATCCCAGCTTCTGCCAACCTAGCAGTTCAAAAGCATGTAAAAAAATGCAAGTAGAAAAATAGGGACCACCTTCGTTGGGAAGGTAACAGCGTTCTGTGCGCCTTTGGCGTTTAGTCATGCTGGCCACATGACCACGGAGACATCTTCGGACAGCGCTGGCTCTTTGGCTTTGAAACGGAGATGAGCACCGCCTCCTAGAGTCAGGAGTGACTAGCACATATGTGCGAGGGGAACCTTTACCTTTACTTTATCATCCCTTCTTTTTTTTTACTTTACATATAACTTCTCCAATCAGAGAACTTCAGCTACATTTCCATCAAGCTATGCAGAGCAACCTGCTTCAAGTGCACTCTGTCTTCTTGCCTTGAATTTCAGTGTTTGTCCTCTGTCTCGATAAAAATAGCTATGACCTTTGAACAGTAGCTGTGGAGGGATTCCATCCTTATTACATTGGTTATGGAGACACAGGCCGATCTATACACAATATCAATTTTTTTCTATTTTAGATAAACGCAATCCTGCAAGAATATCCTGTTTATCTCTTACAATTGCCCCACGTTCTCCTATAGCTGCATCTGGAGGCTCTTGCTACTTTCCACAAATGATGTTGTACAGCGTTGTGGTTCAAGCTGTGTCTCTTATCATTACATGCATATGCAGTGTCACAATATACACAGAAAATGGACAGGGCTTGCATCAGAGTTCCCCCTATCTTAGCTTATCCCCCCCACCCCTTTTTATGAGAGGGTATTGGTGCTTAGATGATTTACTGCTTGGTGATTTGAATATGTTTGGCTTTCATGACATTATTTTTAGTATTTTATAGATTTTTTAAAAACATGATTTTTCCAAAGAACACTGTAAATATAATAAATGTGTAAATGAATCATTCTTGCCAGATGCTGCATACTAATATTGCTCCATCTAGTTGCATTTATTTATTTATTAAATAGATATGCCACCCATCTCACCGTCAAGCGACTCTGGGTGGCTTAAAACCTCATGAAAAGGTTCAAACATTAAAACATTAAATATTAAATACAGAAATTAAATAAATTAAAACCAGAATATTCTGGGGTGGAGGTTTTTAATTATATGGTTAGGTGATTATTATATAATTAGGGCAAAAGCAAGTTATTTAAACCAGTGGTGAAATCCAATTTTTTTTACTACCAGTTCTGTGGTGGGCATGGTGAGGCTTGGTGGGCATGGCTTGATGGGCGTGGCAGGGGAAGGATACTGCAAAATCTTCATTCCCACCCCACTCCAGGGGAAGGATATTGCAAAATCTCCATTCCCACCCCACTCTGGGGCCAGCCAGAGGTGGTATTTGCTGGTTCTCCGAACTATTCAAAATTTCTGCGACCGGTTCTCCAGAACCTGTCAGAACCTGCTGGATTTCACCCTTGATTTAAACTTAACAATAAATTGTTAAGGACTAAATAAATGGCATTTTTTTTATATTCACCAAACAAATTAGATCCTAGGCTCATTTTTAGAAGCATAAAAATTGGTTCAGGAACGGAGCAAACTGAGTAACACCATGAAGTAAAATATTTTTGTAAATGTACTGTTCCAAAATTAAACTGCAGATCTAAAGATTCTTTTTTGCTTTGAATATTCTTGGGCCTTGACTAGCATAAATACTGCTGAGTCAAAAGTTATTGAGAAAAAGAGCTAGATTATTATCTGCAATATAATCTGCCTTTCTTTCTTGGAACTTTCATATTTCTGGTTTCCATTCCGATATCAACCATATCCAATCTATCTATCATCTGCATTTTTTCAAATTTCATTAGTTTTTTTATTCCCCAAACTAGTATCCCTCCACTGCTTTTGATGACAATTTTGATTCTTACATATGATAATATGGAGCTTATTCTCAGATCTAGAGCAGGTGTGAAATCCAGCAGGTTCTGACAGGTTCTGGAGAACCGGTAGCGGAAATTTTGAGCAGTTCGGAGAACCGGCAACCACTTCTGGCTGTCCCCAGAGTGGGGTGGGAATGGGGATTTTGCAATATCCTTCCCATGCCATGCCCACCAAGCCACGCCCACAGAACCGGTAGTAAAAAAAAATTGGATTTCACCACTGATCTGGAGGTTTTCTGATTGCAGAAGGATATTTCACGCTCTTGGATCTGAGAAAAATAATCCTGACTTTGATTTAATGGAATTGTGATTCAGAGATTTCTCTTCATCTTTTAGGGAAATATCAAGCAAGAATACTCTCTGAAAGCATGCTCACTCCAGCAGAATATCAGAAAGAAGTTAGCTATGAGCTAGTTACTGGGAAAGGAGAAGTTCTTGGAGCATTTTTCAGTTCTCTCTGCCCAGGTAGGCCATAGGACCTTTACAGTGTGTTTGGAGGTGGGTTTTTTTTTTTCATGGTAAAAAGCAAGTGTGTTAAGAAAGAACAAAAGTAGATCTGGGGCACTAATTGGCTGGCATTTTTTCACGTTTCCCATTAGCTGGTTGCAGGGGACACTGGCCAAGAAAAAGTATAGCACTGGATTGTGGCACATACAAGTTTAAACTTGCCAAGAATTGCAAGTTTAAGGCCAGCAGTGGGAAATGGCCTATGCAGATTCATCTTCAGTTCTTTGGTGGAGGTTCCCCCCCCCCAGTTCACATTAATATTCTGCTTACTGTCAGATAATATTCGACAGTAAATAGTAGTATTTCGATAGTAAAATCTGAAAGCACTTTATTTTTAATTGCCATTTACAGGGCATTAGATTAAATGCCAAATAGCCCTTTATATTAAATGCCAAGTTGTCTGTCAGATGAAATGTCTGTCTTAAATGGGTGTATTTTCTTTTAAAATTCCTCCCTCCCTCCCTCCCTCCCTTCCTTCCTTCCTTCCTTCCTTCCTTCCTTCCTTCCTTCCTTCCTTCCTTCCCTCCCTCCCTCCCTCCCTCCCTCCCTCCCTTCCTACAATTGTTGGAACCAATTTGAAAGCATAAAATTAAAAATAAAATGATTTTCTTCATACAACTTCCTAAGATAAATACTGGTATCTGAATTTCAAATATTATACCCAGAAGCACCATTTTGTAATTGTAAACTATAGCATCTTTCTTCCTCAAGAGTTGGAATATTCCTGAATATCCCACAGCTTTAATGCAACTTTACTATTCCCAAAGCTCTATTACGGATCCTCATAGCTTTAACACAAAAGAGTAAGATCATTTTTATTTTGTTAGATGGTGACCTCGATGTTTTGTTGGATAAATATTATCAAGAAAATAGAACCCACATATCATCATCTCTTTCTGCTTCTGCAAATAAACCGGCAACCCTGGATGTAACAGGAGCAGCTGTGTGTACAAGTATGTGTGGTGTGTATGTGACAAACAGAGATATCTTTTTCATACATTTGTATCCTTTCTGCTCTTTTTCCCTAGAGTCTTGTCATTGAATGTTCTCCTCACAATTTTTGGAATCTAAGTAAATAAAGAATTACGTTTTTTTTCTCACCATCTTTCTGCTTTTTTCTCACTAGGTTATAACCTTGAGAGGCATCAGATCCGCCCTTTCCAGCTCACTGTGGCCCAGAAATTGCTCTCTCATGTTTGCTCCATTGCAGATTCCAGCACCCAAAACCTTGACCTGGGTTCCTTTGAGAAAATAGATTTCCTGATATGTGTGCCTCCTTCAGAAGTGACATATCAGCAAACCCTCTTCCACCTCTGGCATTCAGGTGCTGATTGGTGTCAATAGATAGAAAAGAACCGCAACGCAAATTCATTTCAGTTAGCTGACACCCAGTATCTTTCTTTAGGTGTTTTATTGGAGCTTGGCTTGGAGAAGGAACATCTGACAAAAGAGCGGGTGGAACAATATGTTGTAAAGCTTGATGCCGATGCCCAGTTAAAGTTTAAAGCTTTTTTGCAGAACTCTATGCAGAATCCGCACACTCTGTTTGTACTCATCCATGACCATGCTCACCGGGACCTTGTAAGGTAAGAAAACTTGCACTTCTTAGTGAACGACAGTGCTGTTGTGGCTGAGCAGTAGAGAACTGCTATGCTATGCAAGCTTCTTAAATATATCAATAAACACTCCTTCTGCACTGTTTGTATTAGCTCAGCTAGAAGCAGCTGGGTAGAAGCATATGGGTAAATAATATTTTAAAAAATAAGGAGGTAGCCAAGCCTTCCTACCTGCATAATGGCCTTAAGAGAGGCAGCAGGTTTAAGAATCAATTGCTAGAGAATAGAGCTATCATCTCTTGTACAATTTGATAGCTTTTTGGATGCAGTTGGCATTCGACTACAGGTAATCCTCAACTCATATTCATTTGGTGATCGTTTAAAGTTACAAAGGCCCTGAAAAAAGTGACTTACAATCAGTCCTCGCCAGTGATGGGTTTCAATTTTTTTTACTCCTAGTTCTGTGGGTGTGGCTTGCTGGGCGTGGCATGGCATGGCTTGCTGGGAATGGCTTGGTGGGCATGGCAGGGGAAGGATATGGCAAAATTTCCATTCCGTCCCCACTCCAGGGGAAGGTTACTGCAAAATCCCCATTTCCTCCTGATCAGCTGGGACTTGGGAGGCACAGAATAGATGGGGGTGGGGCCAGTCAGAGGTGGTATTTACCGGTTCTCTGAACTACTCAAAATTTCCGCTACCGGTTCTCTGATGAACCTGATGAAACTCACCTCTGGTCCTCGCACTTACAACCATCACAGCGTTCCCATGGTCACTTGATCAAAATTCAGGCACTTGGCAATCTGTATGTATTTTCAACAGTTGCAGCATCCTGGGATCATGTGATCACTATTTACAATCTCATAAATAGATATATCTCATATATAAATATGTCATATATATCATATTTAAATGTGTAAATAACAGATGGACATGCATCTATTTTACTCCCTGTTCATACAGTGTTTATATTTACTTTGTACTTAACACATAGAATGTCAACCCTTGACTGCACACATTCTCTCTTTTACAGTGCAGTTCATAGCCTGTACCCTCACTCAGATCCAGCTGTGGGACTCGTGGACAGACTGCTGAATTGTAGAGAGGTGAAGGAAGCTCCCAACATCGTCACTCTTCATGTGACTTCCTTTCCTTATGCATTGCAGACCCAATACACCCGCATTAGTCCTTATAATGAAATTCACTGGCCTTCGCTATACAACAATGTAAGAAAATAACTTTTAGGATCAACATAAGCTTCTTCTTTTTTTTTTTACATTTAGTATGTATGACATGACAATGATCGCATGACAGTTTAACAAAACGTATTTTCTTCTTGGTTCATCCATTCTTAGATTCTCCTATCCGATTTTGCTTACTTGTTTGCATGCGGGGTACGCAATACGGCTGTGCTAGAATAAATCTGCTCAAAGTGGGTGGATGTGAGCAAACCCCAACTGTTGAGGCAAAAGGTTCTGCTTCAAAAAATTTTCCAGGTTGTCACTGCACATTGCACATGTATGCAAGCTTCCGTTTGCCAGTAGTCACAGTGACAAGGTTGTCTATGCATACATATCCATATGCAAACCATTCGGGAAAGCTCTTGAAGGGACCACATTGAGCCTTCCAGAGGCTGTGGCTGCTTTAAGACCTTGAGGAGGCATTCTTTATTTGTAACAACATGATTTGCCAATTTCTGTTTCATATACTTGTGCAGAAACCTAACAAACAACCATATTTTCAGGCAAAAGTCCATACCTTACCATTCCGTTGTTTATTGGTGCCTTTATTTCAGGAGAAGTGAAATGGATGGGGTAAAGACATAGTCTATGCATTTGATAAAATTCAATTAATTTATTTCATTGAACACCAGTAATACGGCACTACTAATACATACTAATGCAATTTTCCATTTATTACGTTAACATTTACAATTCAGTTGCAACTTTGGGAAAACCTAAAGAAGATGAGCCCCACATGGTTTCAGGGTACATGGAAGCGGTACACATTTACTTGAGAGATCCTTTGATCTCGATTCTTTTTCTCTTGACTTTTCTTCCTACCAAAGAAGTAAATAGTGAAGGTCAAACTTAAAAAGTTTTTGAAAGCTATCTAAGAATACTAGATTGTGCAAAGTCTTCTGAAGATATACTTTGCACCAGATGGAAAAAGTGGAAAGCAGAGTTGTTGTAGAGTCTGTATATATGCAGACAGTGGTGGGATCCTTCCGGTTTAACAACGTGTTCGGTGATTGCGCGCTTCGCTGCATGTGTATGCGCAGTTCAACAAAAAAATCACCTTCTGCGTTAGTGCTAGGGAATTAAAACAACTGAAACATGGCAATCCCTCTGCCGCGCTAATCAGCTGCAAACATAAAAGCAAGTAAAGCATGAGGGCGGGTGGGCAGGCCCAGCTGACCATCAGAGCGAACCGGTTCGCTTCCAGCTGATCATCGAAGCTACTGGTTCGCCCAAACTGGTCTGAACCGGTAGAATCCCACCCATGTATGCAGAGATGGCAATTTTGAAGCAGCTGGGTGAGCTTAGAAAAAGAAGTGGGTGCTTTAACTGAAAAGAGCTACTCTATGCACCTTCCTGTGATTTTCAAAAAACCTCTTTCAAGAGACTGTACAGCCCTAATGACCTCCATCTGTTGACAGGAAGAACAAAGTGTCCCCATTTGAACTGGGGGGGGGAGGGGCGACACTTGTGTTTCTGCATGCACAAATACATTTGTGTTCATGTGGTCATTTGTTTCTAAAGCTATTGAACAATTAACTGAATACTTGAATAGTTATGATAGTAATGATCATAAATGACTCAATACTGTAATCCAACTCATTTATTCTAGGGCATGGACTTATATCATGAAAACAAGAAGTACTATGGATTGCATGAATTCATTGAGTCCACCCTTTCTGGACACAGTCTTCCACTGCTTCGTTATGACAGCTCTTTTGAAGCAATGGTCATGGCTTTGGGGAAAAGGTAGAGTGAATGCAGTTGAATAATGTTTAGCATTGAGCAGAATTTGGAACTGCAGTGTTCCTGCAAACTGAAGATTGGGTTTTTATTATTGGCTTTTTTTTTTTTTTTTAAAGAATAATATTCTTTTAGACTTACATATTTCCATATACCTGAAGCCCTCCTCAAATACACAAAAACTGTTATTTTCTCTCTGGATCATGATGATAACTGCAGAAAAATTCCATCCTCCATTGGAGTCAGATCTTTGTTTCCCACGGAAGTTGACAGAATTCAGCAACATCCATAGATGGTGGGAGAAGTAATTTGACTTTTGAGGAAGGAGTGGTACCTGAAGATTTTGTGTGTGTTTTTTAAAAAAGAAATCTATGTAAAGAAAGATTTCCATAATTTGGCTAAAAACATAGATGAACCCTGAATTATATGTTTTGTAGTGTATGTGTGTGTGTGTGTGTGTGTGTGTGTGTTGATATACATTTGAAATGGCATTCTGTAAACACAGAATGCCATTTCAAATGCCTGTTATTCCTGGCCATTCTGAGCAATTTTGAATATCTGTATATATTGACAATTCTTATTCTCTCCCTCTCCCTCCCTCTCTCTCTCTCTCACACACACACACACTAATCAATCATGTTTCACATGTTTTACTGTATTTTTTGTTGGACTTAAGAGAGCCAGTTTGCTGTAGTATTAAGGACCTGAGGAGACCTAGTTCTCTCTTAGCCAGCTGGGTGACTGGTATAGTCATTTGTTTCTCTAGACTGGGAATTGAAAAATATCTTGGAAGAAGGCATTGGCAAACCCAGGATTTAGGTATCTAAAGTATCCTCATAAGATCATCTTGCTTTTTGTGTCCTTTCAGGTTTCCTCGGCTGCATAGTGCAGTGATAAGGACATTTGTTCTTGTCCAGCACTACTCCGCAGCCATGATGGCAGTCTGCGGCTTATCTCAGATGAAAAATTACACCACTGTGGAAACTTTAGAGATCACACAGAACCTCATCAACTCTTCCCAGCAGTGTCCCAGTGGACATGGGCTGATGGTAGTCTTAAGGATCCCTTGCATGCCGTTGGCTACGGTGGCTTATGAACGCCTCAACCACGTGAGGGAAAGGCTTGCTTTGGAAGGCCGTTTTGAAATCATCCTGGGGAATCCCAACTCCGGAATCAATGTAGGGAAGCACTTTGTGGAACAACTCAAGGTACTTTGTGATGAAATCTCGGCTGCCGTAGCCTGGGCGGCTGACATCTGGTTAATGCAGTCTGTAGGAACAAAGAATATTTACAGGATCCAATCTGGGTCTGTCAAATGGGGCAAAACCAGTGGTGAAATCCAAAAATTTTCCCTACCAGTTCTGTAGGTGTGGCTTGGTGGGCGTGGCTTGGTGGCGGTATCATGTGACTGGGTGGGTGTGGCCAACTTTTTTTTTTTTTACTTTTTAAAGATTTTTTTTACTACTTATTCGCCCGAACTGGTAGTAAAAAAATGCTTTAAAGAAGGAAGAAAAAGTTTCCAACTATCGCGCAACACAGGTGATTGTCACACCTGATCATCGGAACCTATTTTTTTTTACTTTTTTAAAGCATTTTTTACTACCGGTCCGGGAGAACCAGCCTGAACTGGTAGCATTTCACCCCTGGGCAAAACTCACTTGACAAATTTCTCACTTAGCAACATAAATTTAGGGCTCAGTGGAGGACTACCTGTATGTTTGTGGCCTTGTTATAGATGTACGTGTGTGCATGTACACAATCACTGCGTAAAGTATGCTAACATTTATTTATTTACTTATTTACTTACTTATATCCCACCTTTTTTATTTTTATACTTATACCTAACTTAAGGCAGCAAATATAACTCCTCCTCCTCCTATTTTCCCCACAACAATAACAGTATGAGATAGGTTGGGCTGAGAGGGAGTGACTGGCCCAACACTTAACTCCCCCCCCTCCTTGATTGGCTGGATATATTCTAATTAATTGCCTTAAATATGACTGACAGAACTGGCAGAAAATTGAAGATGCTGATTGGAAACCCCAGACATATTTGGAACTGGAGGGTCTACCTTGCATTTTGATTTTCAGTGGAATGGATCCTCAAGGAGAATCCCTGCCAAGGTAATGAGTGTTATTAAAAACAACCACCCCCCCACCCCCAAAAACAACCCAACCATAAAATAAAGCCTAGAAGCTTGTATTTACAATCTTTTCTCATTTTTGCAATAGTAATATGAAAATTACTGCATCTTACAGTCCCTTTTCAACAATTTGTGTGCTTGTATTCTAAGGGCTGGGTATAAATTTTAGAACGTCACTAAACCATTGCAATGTTTTATATTTAATTCTTGGGAAGTCAAGACCCAAAACCTTACTTGCTTTGTCAGTTGTGTTCACCATGCTCACTGGCACAAAATAGCTCACTGTACCCATAGGAGCAGAAGCAGTGGTGAAATCCAAATTTTTTTACTACCGGTTCTGTGGGCATGGCTTGGTGGGCATGGTATGGTGTGGCTTGGTGGGCGTGGCTTGGTGGGCATGGCAGGGGAAGGATACTGCAAAATCTCCATTCCCTCCCCACTCGTGGGGGAAGGATATTGCAAAATCTCCATTTCCACCCCACTCTGAGGCCAGCCAGAGGTGGTATTTGCCAGTTCTCCAAACTGCTCAAAATTTCTGCTACCGGTTCTCCAGAACCTGTCAGAACCTGCTGGATTTCACCCCTGAGCAGAAGGACTGAAGCACAGTGCCTCTGTTCAGTCAAATAATTCAACAAAATATCGTACTTGATGGCATCAAAAATCACCAGGAGCCCTCTGAAGGATCATTGGAAGGAAGGATGTACCTCAACCCTTGGCAAACGTTAAATAGCTAGAAAATAGGGATCTGAACTAGGTTGGTGCTTTGGATCTGATGTATGTGTGCTTGCTCTATGCAGTCTCTAACGGGTGCAGCAAGTAGCCTCATGCTGAATCTGAACCATCTTTCCTGTTTTGGGCCAAATATTTGCACATCCCTATTAGGAAAAAATATGTTGGGAACAGTACCTTTCTTTCTGGAACCTGATATTATCTAGAAACAAATATGAGAATTTCCTATTATTATCTACCAGCAAAAGAGTTGCACTAAAGATTGGGTCAGGAATACCTACCGGTTTGATAACTTTCACATTTGAGATCGGTCTTGATAATATATCTCAGGCTGAATGTTGGCACAAATTAAGCCCCACTTGTATGCCAAATATCAAGGAAAAGCAATGCATAACTAACTTTTCACAACCTTAGCAACTTTGAGATGTGTGGACTTTAAGTCCCAGAATTGCAACACCCACAAAGTAGTTGAAATGCAGTTATTTGAAATGCAATTCTCCATTAATGTATGTTGTAGGCCAAAAATAGAAAGGGTAGGAGTAGGGTGGTGAATGGAATTTTTTTTTACTTAATATTACTGGCATCTTTAATTTGTTCATTTGTTTCCTATCTCCCTATCCAAGATCCTTGAGATACTGTGATCTACGGTTGATAAACTCCTCATGCCTGGTGAGAACAGCTTTGGAACAAGAGCTTGGCTTGGCAGCCTATTTTGTCAATTCTGAAAGTACAGTAGAGAAAGGAGGAACCACAAATGATGTCTTGGAGAGTGACCCAGAAAAACTGAGCAGTACTGATAATGAGGATGAAGAAATAGTAACAGAAGGTAAAGGAACATCCTTTGGACCACAGCATTAAACCAGCTTTCCCCACCCATGGCCTTCCAATGTATTGAATACAATCCATTTTAATTGGTAATCCTGCTTCCTGTAGGATTAATCCTATCTTGAGTAGGATCAAGAGCAGACAAGGGCAGAAGTTCCTTCAAATCAGTGTAATATTGATAAATTTCGGTCATTGTTTTCTTTTAAACATTTTTTATAGTTGAATATACTCCTGAATTTGGGAGGAAGAATGGGACCTAAATAAATACATGTTTCCAACACCTCTCCTTGCCACAAATCTGGTCTCCTCACCCAGATTTCCCCTTTATGACATATTAAATGCACATACCTTCTTCTCCTCTTCCCCCCTTTTCTGTGGTCAGGAAGCATTACAATCTGTGATGGGCACTGTTCCAAATTAAAGCAATGGAACTGTTCTGCTTCATATTAGAACTTCATGGTGTCATGGGATGGAGTGTGTGAAGAAGTCGGTAACCCAAAGAGAAAGACAAGCAAGTCCTCTTTGGGGGAAGGAATCAATTCAGGGATACAGGGGTTGAGGTTCATTATTTATTTATTAAATTTATATGCTGCCAACATCTCACTAACAAGTGACTCTGGGAGGCTTGCAAACACCAGAGGTACAAATATTAGAAGATGAAATATTAAATAAATGGGGAAAAAACCCACGTTTCTCAGTTTACTTTATTGATTAGCCCTTGGGCCATACCAAAGTGCAGAGTTCCAGACACAAATTACTACTAAAATCTGATAAAAACAATTTAAAATGAAATTGGAATAAAATACAAGTAAAAACAAGTAAAAAACCAGAATATTATGGGGTGGACGGGTTGGATCTTCTTCCACTAGCCCAGAGATGGAATTCAAATTTTTTCATTGCCGGTTCTGTGGGCGTGGCTTGGTGGGCGTGGTGTGGTGTGGCTTGGTGGGCATGGCAGGGGAAGGATACTGCAAAATCCCCATTTCCTCCCCACTCTTGGGCCAGCCAGAGGAGGTATTTGCTGGTTCTCCAAACTACTCAAAATTTCCGCTACCGGTTCTCCAGAACCTGTCACAACCTGCTGAATAGCACCCCTGCACTAGCCCCTTCCAATATAGAACGCCCCCACTGGTTCCTGGCCCATTGGTTTTGAAGCTCTTTATGGAAGGACAAAAGGGTGTGTGTGCAGATTTCAGGGGGCACAATGTTCCAGAGGGTGGGAGCTATGGCACAAAAGGCCTTTCTCCAGGAACCCACCAGCTAGAATTCCTCGACCAACAGAGTATGCACGATGTCCCTTTTGCTGGTATGGGTGGGTCAAGCCAATCCCATTGGGGTGAGACAATTTCTCAGGTAATATTTGCCTTATCCTATCAATTTTGTGTTTGTGTATATGTACAGTATATGTATAAATGTATATAAGTGTATACATACATATGTATATATATGGAAATAAATGGTTTATGGCTTATCCACTTGATCAGAACGACAAAAATATAATACCTATCATTTTATTATGTATTTTTGTGCGAATTGCTGAGAGGAACACTGATATCAATGTAAGAGTCTATTTCTTCACCCCCTCTGTATTTTAAGTTAGATCATATGATGCCTATAAAAATATTAAATAAGATTTCCCTTCAATTATGGAGCAGGCTCAGCTTCCGAAAGAAGAAGCCCTGTGAATAGGGAGAGATCTGGCTCTCGTGATTCTGCCGATTCTTCTGTCTCTTCAAAAGCATCAAGTAAGACTTCCCAGTTCAGCATTTCTTTGTTTTCTTTGAATGTTGGAATGTTATTTTATTTATCCTTTATATCTCCCTTGTCTTCCATAGCAGTGTTCCTCAGCCTCAGCAACTTTATAATGAGTAGACTTCAAATCCCAGAATTCCCCAGCCAACTGTGGGGAATTTCCTGTGGGACTTCCAGATTCAGACAGGTACTAGCCAATCAACCATGGTAGCAGACAGCAGTGGTGATAGATGTAGTGGTGCCAAGTGACAGCAACATTAGGAAGAAGGATGTGGGGAACTGGAAGAGTATTGAGAGGAATGAGGAGCTGAAGAATTCTGGGAAATGAAGTCTACATATCTCAAAAGTTCTTGGGTTGTCAAACATTGCTCTAGCATTTTAGCCCATGGTTTAATCCATGCTGCTGTTGTTCTTAGGAAAAAAAGAACAAAAACTCCATGTAAACTTTTAAAACTTATCTTTATAGAATTAGGTATGGTTTTACAATTTCTGATAGGAAAATACTTTCAACCAGTGCTGTTAAGAGTTTCTATAATTCAGTTTGTTGGAATTAATCATTTGTAACGTAGAAAGATATTTGGGCATGGAGATCTAAGCATGAACCTAGGCAAAAATCTTATGCTGAATTGGATTATCTTTTTATCCCAGACTTCCCTTCTTTACCTACAACCAGTCAGTTATTATTAGAAAATATTACATGCTGTTAGAAGCGAGAAAATGTAATAACTTAAATTACCATAAACCATATAAATTACATTTATACATTTATATTTACATAGCAGCATTTCAATCTACTATAGTATATAAGTAGAATTCTTGTCTGATAATTATATATCATGAAGGAATTTAAATTTTGACTTATTTTTAAATGTGTTGCAGTAGTATTCATTGCCATAATAAGTATAATCACCTTTTGTAGAATTAAAATGAACAACACAGAGACAAACACATATTCATCATTTGGAAAGTGGAAAGGAAATACAAATTCGGTCAGAATACTTCCTCAATTTCCCAGCCCATGCACTCATGGGGAAAATAAACATTTGTATCACATTTCACAAGTGATGGCACACAGATTAATTATCCTAATACAGAAATACCCTTTCTTATAAGAAAGATCTGGAGGTGACTCTTAATCTTTGTTCCTCAAGGACTTCAGTAGGAGTTTAAACTAAACCATGACCCTTTTATGTGTATAGTAGAACCTCTGGTCATGACCATAATTTGTTCTATAACTTTGGTCGCAAACCAATTTGGTCGTGACCCGAACCTAATTTTGGAAATTTGGCACTTACCAAAAAAAAAAAAAAAAAGGCACAGAAGGGGAAATCGGCTGTGAAAAAAAAAATGTGAATTTTTTGGTCAGAACCCGATTTGGTCGTGGTCAGAAGCATTTGTGACCAGAGATTCTACTGTATATATATTTCATGGTGAGAGTTTGTGTATTGTAGAACTAGATTTGCATATTGAATTTGTGCTGAGGCAACTCCTTTTTTCTGCTTACATGAAAAACTGTTATTCATCACTGCACATTCAGTCAAGATTTTAGGATGCTTTTGGCAATATGATAAACTGAAATTTAGACATATTTCAATCAAATGATCCATTTAAATTCCGGCTCATCTCTCACCAAGACATCATGATTCCACCCCCATTTAACAGTGCCAATGTCAAAGTCTCGGCCTTGCTTGTCTATTTATTGTACCCCAGGAATGATTTATGGTGATGTTCTTATATGTGTGTGGGGAAGGGAGTAATATGAGAGTATGGAGCTGCCACTAACCATCACTGTTTCATTGCTAAACTATAGATTTTATTCACAGGCGTGCCGTTTTGCAGTGACGCATCTACAGGGGAGGTAGGAAAAAAGTCACCTCAGCAGATGTTAAACATCAGTAATGAAGAGAGTGTGAACAGCACTGAAAAGCCAAGACCCAAAGTGGAGAAAGAGCCTAAACAGACCATGAAAGCTGCTCAGGCTTCCATCTCTTCGTCGTCACCCTCTCCTTTCTCATCTTCCTTGGCTTCTTCTCTCCCCACCCATAGTTCCTTGCCTCTGCAGGGCTCTCAGTGTTCCATGACCAAAACATCCCAGCAACCTCCCATCGTTTACCTTCCCAAACTGATGTATGATATTGTGACCTCTGCAGACAGCACAGGTCTTCCCAAATCCTCCTCCCTCCTGCCTTACCATTCAGTAATGTGGGCAAGCTCTTTTCGCCCTCTCATGAATAAAATGATGACCTCCACAGAGCAGTCCCTCTATTATCGCCAGTGGACAATTCCCAAGCCAATCCACATGGACTACAACAATAGAAATGAAGGGAGGATGGACACTTTTCATCCGAGGAGACTGTTACTGAATGGGCCACCCCAGGTATGTAACAGGACCGAAGTAATTACTTCTAATATCCTCTATCGATCATTTCCATCACCTTCTCATTTTAAGAAAACAATTGCCTTGTAGGACAAAACTACCAAATAGTTCTTGACTTAGTACAGTACTGGTTGTTTAATGACCTTCTGAATGATGATTATGACTTCAAAAAAGTTACTTTATGATCTGTCCTCAAAATTATGCACCATCCCCATGGTCAAGTGATTGCATTTCAGTTGCTGGCTCTCACTGATGACAAATTGCTGCATTTCATGGTTATGTGACTGTGTTTTGAGATGGTTTTCATCATTTTCCAGCAAAACATACCCACTGGATAAGATGGATTCGGACTTACAATCCTGTGATTCATGTAATGAGCACTCTGACCTACTTAATGATTGTCATAAAATCGAGTTCAGTGATATGATGACTTATGAGCAAAATTTTGGGCTCAATTGTGGTCATAACCCTATAATATGATTAGCATCATTAGTCACAAATTTAACATATAGCTCCAACTTCAACTCAAAGGCTCTCAAGATGGCCTTAAAATGCACTCCAATCTCTGCAGTCCTTTGAAATAATTTTTCTCCTTCAGCCCCTGGACATGTAAATAATTGAAATAATTCTCCTTCAACCCTGCCTTAGATATTTGCAGGTTAATATTCTGAGTGCAGTAATATGCGAGCTATGAAAAACAGAAACTAAGTATATGCTTCTTCTCATGTTTCCAAATTATAACTCTCAATTAGAGAGGTTTCAGATTCACTTCAGATTAAGTGGCAGTCATCATTTTATTGGTGGATTATAAAATACACTATTTGAATCAAACATTGTTTACTATTCTGATATATGTGTTTCCAGATAGGAAAGACTGGTGCTTATCTGCAGTTTCTTAGCATTTTATCTCGAATGTTGATTCGGCTGACAGAAGTGGATGTTTATGATGAAGAGGAGATCAATGTTGGTATGTCTCCCATATTTATTCTTTGGGAAACAATATTTAATATTATTTGATTTTCTTTTTCTCATATTCTTAAGCCTTATGTTCTTTTTTTTCAGTATTTTACAAACCCCTCTTTTTATTTTTTCTAAGTTTTTCAAATTTACCATATTTTGTTTTTCCATCTTTAATAACTATTGGTTTCCCTTTGCCTTCTTTTCTGATTAAATGGTAGAGTTGGAAATAGCTCAATAAAATATTACCTGTGGGAATATTCTTTTGCTTGGAGTTGTTCATGCAAAAAGGGGGGTTGGTCCCATTCTTCCTTCTACATTGAATAATTCATCATAAATGCCCACATTCATTAAACGTGAAAAAGAGGTACATTAGTTGCATAGCATGAATTTCTTCTGAAATCTAGCTTACTACCTGTCTGTGTTTATATTTTTGGATTTCCTTTTCGTTGATAATACCACAGATCTGAAAGAAAATTCAGAACAATATTATCATCAGCCAGGAGACCTGTGGCCTGATTTAGAAACATTTAAACAGATGCCTTTTGATTATACAATCCACGATCCAAAATATGAAGATGCAAGTCTCATTTGTTCAACAGTGCAGAAGACAAAGAGTGACGGTCAGAATACCTGTTTCCTTTATTTGAACAACTTATTTTGTTACAATTTTTATAGAATAAAGAATTGCAGGAGAAATTGTTGCTCAGAACCTTGTTTTAGATTCCAGTCTTGGGAAGAAATTTGGGTATATACAAATACAGTTATTTGTATTCTGGATTAAATCATGGTTAGCTTTATTGACATAATTCATCTCTTGATAGTTCCTTTCCCAATCTGACTTTGAGCATTGTACTCACACAGCTAATAGATGCTGTGTGTGAAAGACTGGGACCAAGAAAGAAGAAAAATAGCCTGAAATTTTTGTTCATAGTTACTACTGAACTACTAAACCATCCATAATTACTTGCAACTAGCAAGTATTAGCTGAACCTGACACCCATCTAAATAAAACTGCATTATTTTAGCTCAGTCTTGGCAAATGTATCCAGTATTTGGACATGTTGAAATAATATTTTGAACACCCCTGAAAAATACCAGGTTGGATAACTATTCAGAACTATATTCTAAAAAGGGCTTAGTAATAGCATTAACAGAAGGCAATATTTTGACAGAATCCCACTACTCCCATAAGGAAAATCCTTGTTTTGGTTGTAAACTAGTATATTTTTCAGGGGCTAATGATGTACTCATGTAATGATGTAAAGATGTACTCATCTACCCATCTACTTGGTAGATGTGGACACGCCTTTTAGCTGATACAGTCAAAATGCATTTGTGCAGATAGATCAATAAAGAGAAAACCAGAGGATCTCTACATGCGCCGTCAGACAACTCGGATGAGATTATCCAAATATGCTGCTTACAACACTTACCATCATTGTGAACAGTGTCATCAATATATGGGCTTTAATCCCAGGTATCAGGTAAGATTTATAGAATCTGTAATAGAAAATTCATTACATTTCAAGGACAGCAGAAATGATTGAAGTATTTATCAGATTAAAAAACTGGGAAAGGACAAAGCATGGTCCTATGCAACATTATATTGAATAGGCTGGTCCATGTCCTTTTTTTAGGATACAATATTATATCCACTTTGCCAAAAATGTAGGCGTCAGCCTCACTAAACCAAATTACTTAGCAGTAATATGGAAATTGAAGTTTTTTTCAACTTTACAATGTAAGTCTAGAGTGAAACATCAGATTTCCTGCTGGTATCATCTTAAATTACTAATTCAGTTCAGCCCTCCCTAACTTTTTAAAATACTGTATCTACCAACTTGGTCCTGCCATCAACTGGACTCATGAAACAGAAAGTATTTCTAAATAAATCCCTATATATATAGTTTTTTTTAAAGAGCTCATTGCTCAACTCATTGCATAAATTTTAAAATGCAGCAGATTTAATGTATCTACTATGACACTAGCTGAAGTTTGTCGATACTCCATTTTATATCTTAAATATCACCACTTTAATTAAGCGTATCTTGTCTGTATCTATTAAAGATTGTGGGGGTTGGAACATAAAAATCTATTAATTAATGCAACCTGTTTATTGTATTAAGATGTGGTTTGTTTTTTTGCCACCGTTTTAATAGTGAACAGTGTGTATCAATGTCAGAGCTGTGAAAAAGAGCAAATGTGATACATTACATTTGTATCCTTTTCTTTTCACAGCTTTATGAATCCACCTTGCATGCTTTTGCCTTTTCCTATTCAATGCTTGGAGAAGAAATTCAGCTACACTTCATTATCCCTAAATCGAAGGAGCACCATTTTGTCTTTAGCCATCCAGGAAGGCAGCTGGAAAGTATGAGATTGCCTCTTGTCACAGATCAGGTAGATAAAGAGCAATTTGCAAAACTCTTGTTCTAGAGGATTAGGATTTCAACCATTGGACTCTGCTTCCAGGTGATAGTATAGATGGATTGATTGATTTCCATATTACAGAAGATAGTCCCCAAGCTATCCAGTAAGGAAACAGAGTTAAACAGAGATTTAAAATGGCATTTCCACATTTTTCACCATGTTTGGAAAGACATACACTCTGGGTTTCTCTTAAATAGTGCAAGAACCCTACATTGCATCCATTAAAATGTCTTTGAAGCTCACTTTTCATTTCAAATAATTCTTACAGCAAATTCTCTTTTATCAAACAGAATGAATTTATATACTTTGACAGAGAAATCAGATCTGATTTTGTTTAGGTTAAACATAGAAACACACAGCTGACCTACGTTTTACCAAGATGCACTCTTGGTTTATTGAACTCAGTACTGTTGATTGCCTGTGGCTCTCCAAGGTTTTAGGCAGATTTTTTCTGCTTTTCCTGTATCTGGAGAGCCTATGCCTTCAACCTGAAAAGCATGTGCTCTGTCGCTGAGTCCTTTCCCACCCTTAAATTTACCATTATACACTTTTATAGTCGAACTATAAAACAGTGTGTGTGTGTGTGTGTCTGTCTGTCTGTCTGTCTGTCTGTCTGTCTATATTTGTGTATGTATGTATGTGTGTGCATGTGTATATGTGTGTGTATGTATATATGTATTCATATATGTGTCTGTGTGTGTGTGTACAGTATGTATACACACACATTTGTCAAATACAGGCCAATTATAGAAGGAGCTCAATTCTATTCAGCAATGGAAAGGTCTTTCGGAAACATTATTATTAATTAAAATTATTGTTGCTCTTAGAACAACTTGCAGAGTTTACTGTTATTGCCAGAAAGCTAGGGGACAGCTTCTATCTGTGTCTGTAGTTAATTGGTTAAGATATGAATGTGAAGATAATTGTGTGGTTATTCATTGTTTTAATGCCGAATTAACAAAGATGCTTGTATGTTCACTTATGGGTTCCCATCCCCATATCTTGTATGTTTGTCTTATATCTTGTATGTTTGTCTTATATCTTGTATGTTTGTTTTATAGTGACTAGTAGCAAATACAATTCAGTAGGTAGTTTTAATTATCTTCTTTTGTTTCAGTTCTCATTCTCACAAAGGAGAATTAGTTGCAATTACCACTTTTTAACTGAATAATTAATTGAACCAGGCTTTTTCTCCCTTACCTAAAACATTTCTAATGGTTTCACTGTAAACTTTAGACATCGTAGACATTTAGCTTGATAGAGATTGGTGGAAGTATGGGGCCCTGTCTCTTTCTTCCTTTACAGTTTCACATGGTTCTTTGTCTTCGAGTAGAATAGCAGTGGTACTTTTTCCTTTTCCTCCTCTTCTTTCTAGTCATCTTCCTGTGCTATTTATAGGCTTTTGTAAATATTATGTTTGATTATATTGTATTATATCATACAAATTCCTAATTTTTACAGAGCCAGGACTACATAAAGAGCCCTACTTTTACTCCTACGACAGGACGCCATGAACATGGACTTTTTAATCTTTATCATGCAATGGATGGAGCCAACCATTTGCATGTTTTGGTTGTCAAAGAGTATGAAATGGCAATATATAAAAAATATTGGCCCAATCACATCATGCTTGTTCTGCCAAGTATTTTCAATAGTGCAGGAGTGGGTAGGTACATATTTTATTAGTTATTTGTGTGACTAAAACAAGGCTACCAACTTTAGTTGGCAACACTGATAGAATAATTAAAGCAGGAAGGGCAACTCTGGGGAATATGTAATCTTGCTTAAGCCTCATTTTTATGGCCTCCAAAAACATCCCACGATTGTGCTGCTGATTTGTATAAAGCAGCCAAATAATTCGCTCTTTCCAGTGATGTAATTTCAGCTTATTCTCCACTGCAGCCCTAGGTCACTGCCATCAATAAATCAATAAAATACAGTTCTTGCCTACAAAAGGATTGAACTGCTCCTTGTATAAACAGTTGATTAATTGGTGAGGATCAACCTTAATCTGATTATGTACCATCAAGTCAGTGTTGACTCTTAATGACTTCATGAATAATTTTCTCCAAGATGATCTATCTTCAACCTTACCTATTAGGTCATCACCTATAGTGATGCCTGGTGCCATTACCATTGTAAATGAGTCCATCCATTTTGCTGCTTTCAATCTACTGTAAAGCGTCTTCCATTCCATTCAGTATAGAATGACCAATAACAAATGAAGCCAAACAGTTTTTATTTGTAGGCTTGGTGGCCATGATATTATAACAGGCTGAATGAAAAAGATGTTATAAACATTTATTTGAAAATTATGATTATGAATGATTTTATGACTTCAATTCAATGCACAACACACAAAAGATTATTTTGATTTTGTTATTGTACAAATGAAGTCATGTATAGTAGATCTCATTGATGTATCTGTTACAATTCACAACCATCTAAATACTTTGAGCAGCCCAAGAAAATTTTGATTGTATAGCTAAAGGCATTGAGCTAAAATGAAACTTCCACTTTCCCTTATTGGCAGCTCACTCTGCTTCTCTGGCTTGGTTGTAGGAGCTGCTCACTTCCTAATAAAAGAACTGTCTTACCATAATTTGGAGCTGGAACGAAATCGGCAGGAAGAGCTTGGCATTAAGCCTCAAGATGTTTGGCCTTTCATTGTCATCTCTGATGATTCCTGTGTGATGTGGAATGCTGTTGAAATTGATTGTTCTGGTGACAGAAAAAGGTAAATGGCTATTTTCTGTGGTGATGAAAACTTTTTTTTAATTTAAAAAAAAAACCTATTTTGATTTGAAATTTATTTCCTGATCTCTTGCAGTGAATATACCTGGAGAGAAAAGAATATTTCCCTAAAGCAAATTCTTCAGCACATTGAATCAACTCCCAATGTCACCCACTATGCCTTGGTTAGCATGAGGAAATGGTCCAGTAAAACTAGGAGTGGAGATATCAAGGAGCCATTCTCATGTTGCCATGTGCATGACTTCATCATGCTGAATGTGGACCTGACCCAGAATGTCCAGTATAACCAGAACAGGTGAGCCAAGTCTGATTAAGGGAGCCAGCTCTTCCTAACCAGGTGCCGTATAGATTTATTGAGATTACAGTTTCTAGCATTTGCAGCCAGCATAACTGATGAACCCAATGGTTGGGTAACTTTAAGGGCAGCTTTAATACATCCAGAGCAGTGGTGGGTTGCCCCCGGTTCTGTCTGGTTCTTGAGAACCAGTAGTAAAACCCTAACCCTAACCCACCCGCCCTGACGTCATATTTGGTGATCCGCGCGTGCGCAGAAGCTTCTGTGCATGCGCACACGTGCTCCTGTTGCAAACTGGTAGTAAAGGTAGTAAAGGTAAGTAGAACCCACCCCTGATCCAGAGGACAACAGCTTGGAAGAAACCAAGTTATATTGTGATAGCTCATTCCATTATGCTTACTGATTCAAAAGGATGTTGAATATTTTTCATTTTATGATTCTTCTTTATTTTAGGGTCAAATCTTACAACGTACTAAGGACATATTTGTATCTGCAAATATGCATTTTTAAAAAAGAAATAAAAATAAGTCAAGAAAAACGTGGAATTAGCACATTATTTTCCTGCTAAAAATAGCTCCAATGAAATGGTAGTTCGGATCTGTAAGAAACACTATGAACCATTTAATATCATGAAAAAATTTTTTTTAGACTTATCCCTATGATGTCAGACCATCAGTTCCCTTGGACAAATATCAATGTCATGCCTTTTTAAACAGGTCCTGTTACCGTCGGTGCCAATCTTGGCCCATACAGTACAGTATTTCTATTGTATTCATAAGGACTTTCTATCAAAATTACAGGAATCCACACTGTTCTTTAAAAGTCAAATCTTCTGTTCTTCCCAACAGATTTGTTTGTGATGATGTGGATTTCAATCTACGCGTCCACAGTGCAGGCTTGAGAATCTGCCGATTCAATCGATTTAGTGTCATGAAGAAACAAATAGCAGTAGGAGGGCAAAGGTCCTTTCATATCAAATCAAAGGTGAGACTTCAGGAACAGAGTACCTACTAACTCCCAAGTTACACATAGATACTAGATTCTGAGGTTAAGCAAATGGGGTGATCTAAACTGAGTTCCAATTTTAGGATCAGGTCTTGCCTCCAAATCTACAACATGATCCAGGTGAACAGCTGTTTGGTGAAGGGAGTTTCCTGTCAGCTCTTGCTCAAAGAGCAGGTGGCAGCTGTAGCTAGGCTAGCCTTTGCACAACTGCAGCTTGTCTACCAGTTCCACCTATTCCTGGTTTGGGAGGCTTTGGCTATGGACATTTATGGTTTAGCTGCCTTCTAATGGGACTATTGCAACCCTCTATCGTGGGGTATCAAACTCACATCACCATGGCGGCATCACGTGACATATTTCCCCCCCTTCATTAAATCGGGCGTGGGCATGGCCAGCGCATGACGCATTTGGCCTGTGGGCTGGGAGTTTGACAACTCTGCTCTATTGTACAGCCATGTGAAATTTGGTTCTGAATGCAGCAGTGTGGGTAGTTATAGGTCCGTGATGGCGAACCTATGGCAAACGTGTCACAGGTAGCATGCGGAGCCATATCTCTGGGCACACGAACGTTGCCCTAGCTCAGCTCCAGCACACTGGCCAGCTGATTTTCGGGCCTTTTGGGCCCACCGGAAGTTGGGAAATGGACTGTTTCCGGCCTCTGGAGGGCCTCCGGGCGGGGGGGGGAAGGGCAAAAACGGCCTTCCCCATCCCACCAGAGGCCCTCTGGAGACTGGAAACGGCCCGCTTCCCAACTTCTGATGGGCCTGGAAGGCCTGTTTTTCACTCTCCCCAGGCTCCAGAGGCTTTCTAGGAGCCTGGGGAGAGGGAAAAACAGGCCTACGGGGCCCTCTGTGCCATCACATGCTAAAAACAGGGGGAACATGGGAGGGGTTGCATACGCATACGCACTGGGGGAGGCGGGCGCACTGAATTCTGCTCCCAATAGATTTCCAGGAGAGATTCAAGGTGCTGATTACCACTTTTAAAGCCCTCCACGGCAAAAGACTGGGAACTTGCAGAACTGCCTTATTTCAAGAACATCTGCCCACCTCACACACTCTCACAATGCTTAGGTTCCCTCTTTTGAAATTTGCCATCTCATGCAACCTAGAAGTATGTGTCTTTTTGGTTGCTGTCCCTCTGCTCTGATCTCATCTCCCCCCCTCCCCCGCTCCCAGATCTACACCAAACTTCAACTCTATTTGTCTTTAGAAAAACTGTTAAGACTTGTCTTTTTGGGGGGGGATTCAGTTAAATTCAGTCCCTTTTGGTTATCTAATTATCCTGTTTGGCCATCATTTTATATTTTGGATACATTTTTTTAATATTACAAGGATTTTTTAAATTTGTTATTTGTTTTTTTGTGCACAGCACCCAAAGCCACATTGATTGAGCTGGGGAGTCCGATAAATCAATTAAAGGGTACCCGTGCTTTGGAACACCATATCTTCAAGATTAGGTTGGCCCCAATCCTGCAGAGCTTTTGTAAAACACTGAAGGTCTCTTTAGAGGTTTTCGTTATTATTTTGGTTTGGGTTATCCTTGGTGACCATTGTAGGTTTTATTTCTTTGTTAATATTATTTTTTATTGTTCTAACTGGATGTGTAAGTCACATTCGCGAGATAAGTGGCCAATAAATAAATAAATAAATCGTTAAAAAGATTTTTTTTTTTCTTTTGGAAGCAAGTGATCAAAAGGCCCAATCACAATCATGTCCATATGTCAAAGTGATATCTAAGCTCTCAACACGCTTCTGAAATATATGTGTTTGTGTGTCTTCATATTTGTATCTATGTGCGTGTTTAAATACATACTTTCAAATAAGTGAGACATCTGAAAATTTTTCTCCCTCAGTTATGTGATTTTGTTCAGCTACATGTATTTTTTAACCTTATTCCAAAAAGTCACTGCTTAAAAAGAAATCACTATCACCGTCATTGTTTTCTTTTCAGGTGTCAGATAATTTAATGAGTATTGGTCCAGCTCAATATATATGTGCCCCTGACAGCAAGCATACATTCTTGGCAGCTCCTGCTCAGTTATTGCTTGAAAAATATCTCCAGTATCACAGCCATCGCTTCTTCCCTCTTTCACTGAAGAATTATAACCAGCCAGTGCTATCTGTGGATTGTTACCTTAATTTAGGACCACAGGTAATCAACTTCTGTATTAATTAAAATACTGTATATAAATATAAAAATAAAATATATGCATGTACTGGAGAAAGCAATTATGTTTGGAAGAGTTAGAAGTAAAAGGAAACCAGGCTGTCAAAGAACACAGTGGCTGGATACCATCAAAGCTGACACCTGCCAGAGCATAGAAAAACTCAAAGAAGTAGTGCAAGATTGAAAGATGTGGAGAGATCTGGCCCATAAAATCACCAGGAATCAGACATGACTGAATGGAAACATCATCATCATCATCACCACCACATGTGCACATGCCCTTCAAATGTAGCTGAACCTCAACTCCCAGCATTCATTATTGCTCATCCTGCTTCTAGGATTGTTATTTAACAGTACCTGGAGGCAGGGGTGAAATGCTACCGGTTCAGGCCATTTTTGGGGGGATTTTTTTTTTTTACTTTTAAAGCATTTTTTTATTACCTGTTCCAGAGAAACTTCTTATTATCTGAGGCTATCACTCTCTGAATTTATTTATTTATCAAATGTATATTCTGCCATAGTCACAAAAGTATCTTGGCAGCTCACAAAGATAAGCAAATATTGTAACAAGACAAGAACACCTTATAAATACAATTTCTCCCTCCCCACTTCCTTCAATACATTCTATGGGCCCCCAAAACCTTCTACAAATGTCCTGTTTTCAACATGTTCCAGAAGATAGATAATATTGGAGACAAACAAATCTTCAAGAGGAGGCCATTCCAAAAGGTTGGTCCAAATGCTCCTGGGTTTTGGACTTCTTCACCTCTCAGAAATGGAGAGGAACCAATTGTTTTTCCTGACATGATTGAAATGGTTGGGCTTTGCCCCTTTTTTTCAGAAAAAGCAAGTGTGCCATGCCAAGATGAATAGCTGAGTGGCGGTACCAGTGCAGCTACCTGCTGTGGTGGATTTTTCCAGCTTTGTCAGAATGAGACAGCAACTGAATGTCTCTACAAGTGTTATCGAGTAACTTAACTATGGGTGCACTGGGACAGATTCCTTGCCAGAGACAAATGTTTGCTGCAGAGGAAACAATAAAATAAGAGAAAGGAAGTGGCAAAAAGGAAAAGGAGATGCTATTGTTTCAGTTACACATGATTAGGGATGAGGCCAAGCTCCTAGGAGAGCCAGCATCTGCAGTTTAGTTAATGTGTTATTAAATGAGAGACGATTTATATAACCTTTCTTTAAAGGCCATTCAGTGATGAAATGACTACATAAATGTAAGAAAAAATAACTTATCACTAACTGTAGCATGCCAAATTATTTATAAAATAAAAAGATATGTACTAGCTGTAAGAGAACTCTGCTGAGAACAAGCATTTGGTACACATTTGGTACATCTGGAAAAATATATTTATTCATTTTATCTGCTATAAATGGATTCCATGATACCCAGCACAATCTGAATCTGATGTCAATGTTTCTGTGGCCATAACTGTTCAATAATGCTACTAACCTGAATTGTCTCTGGATGGAGAGTAAACCATTTTTGCCGTTTTGTTCCTCTTGCAAACAGATTGCAGTTTGTTATGTTAGTTCCCGGCCTCATTCTCTGAATGTCAGCTGCTCTGAGATGATATTCAGTGGACTCTTGCTGTATCTCTGTGATTCCTTTGTTGTAGCCAGCTTCTTGAAGAAATTCCACTTTTTGAAAGGTAAGAGGTTGCTGCTGACACATAGAGTGACTTGACATCTTTGAAGCAGGCAGGCAGGACAAAAGCATCTGAGTCTCTGATACTTGAACTTTCCTACTTGAAAAACTACTCAGGGGAAAAAAAAAAGAACCTTCCAGGAAAAAACATCTATTCAGTGCAGAAACAGATTAGCTGCCTGGGAATAAGGAACCTGATCTGCTTCTAAAATAGCATTTTGATGAATCTAATTGCCAAGAAAGAAGCTAAATGTTTTATAAGGAATAATGTCATATACCCTAATTGTTCTGATGGATCCTTCCTTCCTTCCTTCCTTCCTTCCTTCCTTCCTTCCTTCCTTCCTTCCTTCCTTCCTTCCCTCCTTCCCTCCCTCCCTCCCTCCCTCCCTAAGGTTTACCCTATTACTCCATGGATAACTTTAAAAGATCCATTGTTTGCTACCACCCAAAAAAATCTTTCTTGTATTGGAAATTGTTTTGGTTTTCTCCTCTTTTCTTTGTTTCAATAAGAAGCCGAATAAATATTTAATAATAATTTAAAATTGGTTGGAACCAGATTCCTTTATTATTACCACATATCTATGATTGTCAATCCCTGCTTCCTTGGTGCCAAATATGTGACCTTTTCCTGACAAGCAGAGGTTATTTTAGAGCTAAGACTATGACTTTTCCTCAGATCTCTCTTTTCACTTACATCTCCCAAATCTCTCTCCCCTTAGTTTCGTACATCTCCCCACTTCCCTGGAATATAAACTGCAGGAGGTGCCCTGCACCATCATGTTTGATTGACTGCTCTAATGCCCACTTATTCTAAATACTATATTCAGCAAGTGGAAGGAGATATGAATTATTTTGCCACCTATGAAAGGTATCCTATGACACAGGGAGGGAAAGAAGGCAGGAGACAAGCATATTTCTAAGAGATTGCTTGGTGTTCTTGATTGTTAAAATGGTTGTCCTTTCAGTGTTTCTCCTTTTGACAAATAATGTCTTTTAAGCTATTCCACAATTGAGAGCTGGGATTTGGGTGCCGGCTGTTGTGTATGATTTTTGTTTTTAGTTCAGAGAGTTATGTATCTGAGGGTCCTTGGTGCTCTCCGAACTTGGGTTGTTTTCTTGAAAATGTTTCACTACCCAGCTAGGTAATATCAGTGATACAAGGAGTGGGATTTGCTCTCTGTTTACGTGGTTTATGGCTGGCCCTATCTGTGATGGTGGGAGTGTTCTTAGTGGTTCCTTGATTTCGTTCCATAATTAAAAACATCCTCACCAATACTGACTGGGCAAGCCTCTAGTATATAAAAAGAGAACAAACCCCACTTCCTTCTGGCACTGATGATATTACCTAGTTGGGTAATGAAATGTCTGCAAGAAAACAACTAAGGTCAGAGATTACTAAGGACCCCACCGTTCAACCCTGAGCTACAATATTCTTTTCTATTAGTTATGTATATGTAATACAAATGCTAATAATAATAATTTCCACAGGTGCCACCTTATGTGTCATTTGCCAAGATAGAAACTCCCTTCGCCAAACTGTTGTCCGGCTGGAACTGGAAGATGAGTGGCAATTCCGGCTAAGAGATGAGTTTCAAACTGCCAATGCCAAAGAAGACAAGCCCCTCTTTTTTTTGACAGGACGGCATATTTAATAAGAAATTATCTGACAACTTCAAGGAGGTCTCTTTCAACCAAAAATAAGTTGTGAAAATAGTTGGGGAACTTAAATGTTCAGCTGAACTTTTTTTTTAAAAAAAAACATAATGTAGACAAAAATGTAGGCAAATTTGAAATATCTGTATTATAATTCTATTTTATTTGACACATTTGTGTTTATAATTTCAGACTGTGTCAGTACCTTTTATAATTTAAGATGTTTAAACTGTTCCTTTTGTGTCAGGAGCAGAGTGGAATTACTGCTTGTTGTAGTTGAATTGTTTATAGGCTCTCTTTGTCTTTGTTTTGGTTGTATAAATTATAGATATTATTTTGTCAGGCAATATTTGGGGTGGTATGGTTCAACATTTAGACGTAGATTCCCTTCTTAACCTTTTCTTGAATTAGAAGTCAGTAGGCAGAAAATGCTCCATTCTTAGTATATAGTGCAGCTGGTAAGTGAACAGCTATTGTGAAAAAGATTTGGGTAGAGCACTAGAGGCAAAAAGGAACTGGACAGTTGTCCCATTCATGAAGAGCTTGGCAGTGTGTATCAGACTTAGTGGGAATTGCAGAAAACAACTGTCCAAGGGATTGAGCCTTATATTTCCATTTTAATGAAAATGGACACTTAGGCCTTTACCCTACTAGTAATTTTGAGCATCTTCCACATTCACCCCTTTCCATTGCTGGGGTGATTCAAAGCCCGTCCTCATTACATTGGATAGGCCGCAACACTGGGCAGATGATTCTAGAAGATGCTACTGTAATGATTTCCCTTGTCCTAATCTCAGAACCATTGTTTGTTCTAGATAATTTTTAAAGTGGAAGCATTTATAGGACCCTGATAAGAAGATAGTTCCTGTCCAGTTTCCTCAATGCCTTCAACAATAACAGAGCTTTTAATATCTAATCGAGGGGTGAAATCCAGCAGGTTCTGACAGGTTCTGGAGAACCGGTAGCGGAAATTTTGAGTAGTTCAGAGAACCGGCAAATACCACCTCTGGCTGGCCCCAGAGTGGGGTGGGAATGGAGATTTTGCAATATCCTTCCCCCAGGAGTGGGGAGGGAATGGGGATTTTGCAATATCCTTCTCCTGCCACGCCCACAGAACCGGTAGGGAAAAATTTTGAATTTTGCCCCTGATCTAATCTCATTGGAAAAGAGAGAGTGGGAAATATTGAGGGAGATATTCAGAGATGTATCGCCTTGAAAGTAGCCCATATTGAACTGTTTATCACAAATATTGAGAGTTGACCACAGGACATGTTCTATGACATTTTGTATTATGTCACTAATGTTTTATGATAACTTTTATGTATAAAGTGTTTTATAAAATTTCAAGCCCACAGGAGTCACGGGTTCTGGATTTTGAATATATTTTGTAAATTAGCCCTTTTTGAAGTATCTTCATTCAATAACTGTTGCCTACAATACACTGTTTCATCCAGCTAAAGATTATACACAGACGAACAGAGTTTTAATAGTATGTTAGACAACCCATGACCTGTTGGGTCATTGTTTCAAAGACATTTCCTTTCCAGATTCCCTAAAACCTTCAACCATAGTAGAACTTCTAATGTAATGGAAAAGTTTTTTAAAATTCAGTGATATATTCAGAGATGTATCTGCCTTGAAAGTAGCCCATTTTTGAACTGTGCAGCACAAACATCAGCGGTTGGCCACAGGGAATGTTCTCTGACATTTTGTATTATGTCAGAAAAAAAAAAGACATTTTTTCCTAGGGCTAAACCAGAAGAAGAGAACTCCGACCACAAACCAGAGGCCTGCTTCAGTGCAATTCATTTTCTGCTTATAACAGAATTTACAGCTATCAGCACTGGAATGGGGATAAGGAATCATCAGATGGTTAAATGCTGGAAAACTTCATCTGTCAAAGGACTTGGCAATAAATCACCACAGGAAAAGGACAAATTGATTGTCCTTTCTAACTCCTTGATGGGCAACCAGTTCTTCATTTCTTTAATTTTAATTAAAATTAAAATGTCTAATTTTCAGGAACATTCTTGTAAAGGGACATGACACTGCTTGTAATTCAATTTCTCCAGTGGCAAAAAGTGTTAAGCACTTCATCTATATGGGCTGTGATCTATTCAGAGCTAAGCACTTTTAAATTCCACTATTTAAAAAAACAACAACAAATCTATGCCTGCACTATTGAAATTAAGGAGTCTGGTCATTGGTGTTCGTTTGTTTTTATCAGAGCCCACACTGATAGTTCACCATGACCTCAAGATACACTTAAGATACACTTGCTCAGAAGAAGATGGTGGGTTTTCTCCCCCCCCCCCCCGTAGTGAAATAAAATAAAATCCAGATGCAATTTCCCATATTTGATCATTTGGAGAATCCAATTATTTCTTTGGGGAACAAAATCATGAGAGCTTCGAACAGTGTTAAAGAATAAATCGATGACCGTAAGCTACAATTGTGCAACCATAAAATAGCTAATAGCATCGTGTCTGAAACAACTTGTCACACAAGAAAGTTGGTTTGCTGCTGTCATTTTTAGTGGGTCAGGGCTGTAAGAAATACATCTGGATATCCCGTGCTAAACAGGGTATTTTTGCCAACTTCCATAACCAGATTCACATGACCTCCAAATGGCTTCTGCTGCCCTCTAGTCTATAAGGTTCATCTTGAATGAATAATCATATTTTTAAATACTAGGAGTTTTATCATAGTCTAGCAGAACCCCAGTGAGGTTTTTTTCTTTGAACAACACTAACAGTTATCAACTTCCATCTTGCCCTACATCCCCTTCCTCACTCTTAATGGAAGAATAAATCTCTGAATTGTTCATCCCCATGCAAAAGGTTGGTAGTTATTTTTCTCTAGACACGTAAACACCTTTTTACAGGAGGCTTATGATTTAACAGGGCTACTTGAGGAGTCAGCTGCCAAGCCAGCGGGTACCAGATTACAGAGCTCATGTTTCTCTTCCAGGCTAAGGTTCCAAAAACATGAGCAGGCTAAACTAGCAAGCAAACTGAATCGCTGGAAAATTATTCTGTCTGCATCTTTGTTGTCAACGACCCATTGCTTTAAGGCAGGGTGTTTGTTTCAGGTTGAAATTTAAATCAGTGTTAACGTCCTTGGCAGCATTAGCCCTCTGGCAATGGAGGAAAAGAATCATCTCAAGATGCCATCTGAAGATACTGAGTCCCCTTGGTCCTGGGTAAGGCCTCCTGATCTAGAGCAGAAATTAGATGTCGGAATTAGAGAACAGCTTGGCTTTTGCAGATTACAGGCTCAGGGCACAGTCCTGTCATATTGATTCAAATTGCAAAGCTGTGTTGAATTGGTGTAAATGGGTAGAGAGATTTCTTTGGTTCCTTTAGTTTTCAGCTTGGCAAAAAGAATAGAAATAGGGCAGAGAAGGGAGGAAAGATGCATCTTTTATATTGCATGCAGTTTAAATAGTATATATTGTTTTGTTTTCTTTCAAATTGTTATTGGGTGCCATTCTAATGGACAAGCCTGTCTCTTGAAAAACTATTTCCCCCATTTTAACATTGTTGGACTATAGAGAAACATTGCTTTTTGGGCATATTTGGCTAGCTAAAATTTAATTTCATTCTGAATTTTGCAATTTTTGTATACCTAAAAGAGCAAAAAATTTAAAGACTGCTCTGAGACGGATCTTGCTTTCTGAAAAATGTGAACTACTACTGTTTTTGAAAAACAGCAGTAGGGAGATTGGATGTTGCAAACTTTATTTTGTATCATTCCTGCAAACTTTCATATTAGGGGAGAGGCAGGAAGGTTGGGACCACATTTGAAACATTTGCAAAACCTTGCAATCAGCAAGGTTTCCTGACTCCCGGTGGTCTAATAATAGCAACTCTTAAAAAGCCTAGCCTCACTCCTAAATGCAATTGTTGGAGAGGGCAGTATAGCAAGGATTGGATTTTTGCATGAGAAGAACTTGCAGATTTGCTTTTTGGATCCATCACAAATTTCTGGGATGATTAAAAAGCACACTGAACCTTAATTCTTCCTGTGCTTTTGTCTGTCTGAGTCACAGCTTTCCATTTAACTCAGATGATTAAGCCTCTGATAAATGAAATAGACTTTGCAAGTGGGTCTCAGTTCTCTGCTTCTATTAAGATTTATAAAGGGGAGGTAGATACATGTAGGAATATTTCTCTCATTAGGAAATGCTTTTTCAATATTTCTTGATGGGTCTGACTGAGCAGTACAATCCATGATAGACAAAGAAGACTTTTCTGCAGATAGTGATGTTTAGTTTAGTTTAGTTTGTTCATACTTATATGCCGCCCTTCTTCCGAAGGACTCGGGGCGGCTCACAAAGATAAAACAACGGAACAATAAAATTAATACTAAAATAATCCAATTAAAATCCCCAAGAGTTAAAACTAAGACTCCCAGCAGATCAGGCAATTTGTTGGAAAAGCCATGTCTTCAGGTCACTGCGGAAAGAGTGTGAATTTGACACTCTCAGTGTATGTGGAATATGAATAAAAGGATGGCAAAGTTCTGTAATGCTCATTTTCAGGTGGTAAATAAGTGATTCAGAACAAAAATAGTTTTGAGTCTTCCGTTGGAATTAGTCTTGCTAAATGTCTTAATAATGGAAGTTATACCTAAAGAAGAACAATAAGGGTATGGTGAAGATATAAGATTAACATTTTACCTTTGTGTGGTTCAATAGGTGAAAACACTAAATACACAATATTTTTAAAGGTAAAGATACAGAAATATGATAGATATGAATGAATGAAAAAGAAATATCTTATTCTCTCTCTCTCCCTCTCTCCCCCCCTCCCTCCCTCTCTCTCTCTTATTTTTGGAACCATCCATCTACCTCATAGAGGCATTCTGGGTGGTGTACAGTAAAATATTAGAACAGGAAAGAAAAGTTAAAATTTAAATAGAAGCAAGGATGATTAAAAACAATGTTAAAAATTAATTAAAAGACAAGGGCGGGGGGCTTTCAGGGCCCCCCACCAGTCTGATGGCTGCATTCTCCTCTACACTTCCCAAGCAAGGCCGCAGTGTCGTATTTTCATTCCTTTCAGGAAGGCCAGCTCCCAATTTGACAGCAAAAAAGAACTTTCAACAGAGAATACAGGTAGTCCTCAATTTACAACCACGATTGAACCCAAAATGTATGTTGTTAAGTGAGTTTCCCCCCTTTTTACGACCTTACCACATTTGTGAAGTGAATCCCTGCAGTTGCTAAGTTAGTAACACGGTTGTTAAGCAAATCCGTTGACTTTGCTTGCCAGAAGCTCGCAAAAGGTGATCACATGCCCCAGGGACACTGCAAGCGTCATAAATGTGAGTCAGCGGTCAAACATCTGAATGTAAATCACGTGACTATGGGGATGCTGTAATGGTCATAAGTGTGACAAATGGTCATAAATTACTTTTTTCAGTGCTGTTGTAACTTCGAATGGTCACTAAGTGAACTGTTGTAAGTCAAGGTCTACATTTATCTGAAGCTCAGGGTGTTCTGACCCAGCCTTCTTATCCAAGAAATCTGTCTGCCTCTCCCTGTGAGCTGGCTTACTGCTTTTCTTTGCTCTCCTCTCCTCTCTATGCATACACACATCTGGGATGGGCCCCATCTGTTCCTCCCCCTCACTCAGCTCAGGCCCTGAAGACAGCTGCCTCTCCATCTGGGGGAGGACAGAAGGCCCTGGCTCTGCCTCTGCCTTTGATGCTGTTTCCTTATCAGAAAGGCTCCGAAACTGGGCCAGACTCTCCCTCCACCTACTCCTCACTTGACTCTGCAGCTAGCTCTGCTGGCAGCCGATGGGCCACAAAAACAGGGTTGAAATATGGTGTTGCTCTCTGAGCTGGGTGTTTGCTGGCAGACGTTTCATTACCCAATTAGGTAGCCTTAGCAATGTGCTTGCATAGTGTCAGAGGATTCTGGGAGATTGAAGAGCAGTTTACCACAGGCTGCTGAGAACTTACGCTCCATCTCATTGAATCAAGCTAGAAATTGTTTTGCATACCACCAGAGGATTCTGGGAGGCTGAGGAGGAGCTCACCATGATTAACAGAGAAGTGGAGCTTTCCCTCATTGGCTCAAACTAGGAAAGTATAAACAGTTCCAATGAGGAGATTTGTGTAATGTCAGAACATTCTGGGAAACTAAAGAGGAATTTAGTGTTACTCATTATGTGTGTTGGTTTGGGGTTATTGCATCTTTTGATTTATTTAACATGGTTTTGAGGGCTTTTGTTCATTTGTATTCCTTGGTTGTTACTGGGGTGTATTTAGAGGTAGGCTGCTGAGGGTTCGCAGGGGTTCGGGAGAACCTCTAGCTAAGATTCTGTGCAGTTTGGAGAACCCTCAAAT